AGACAAATTTTAGTTCTGTATACCGACACGGTACGGGCGTTAGTGCCTATAGTAGTATCATTTTCATTGAGAACGATTGACTAGCGCCCGCCCCGTGTTGGCGTACAAAACTAAAATTTGTCTCTTTGGGTTATCTATAATATTTATAAACAATGGTATTAGATAGAAATTGTAAAAACAAAAACGGATTTATACACAAATTACAATCGTAAAAAATAAATTTATCAGTAATTAGTAAGTACGTTCAATGAGAGATGTATTAATAATACAATGGTTTTTTTTTATTAACCTAGGTAACAATTGAAAAACATATAATATGATACATAAAAAATAATAAATCTCATTACACAAAAATAATAGTTGAATCGTATTAGTAGTATTGGCGTCATTGTCATCCAAACCATCATCCTCATCATCTAAATATCCTTCCCCGCTATCAAAATAATTTTTATTGTAGTCAGTTCCGTCATCTAACTCATCGTCGACATCACTTCCCAACTCATCATCGATATCTCTTACTTCTCCTTCTTTTTCATCTTTCTCTTTCTCTTTTGGTTCTTCGCTATCTTCGATATCAATGTCTTCCTCTTCCTCGAGTTCTTTAATAACATTGTCCATTGAACAATTGTGAAGTGGAAGGCCCTTCCACTTCATTTTCGTTTTCATTTTTTACCTTTTTTTTACTGGCTGGGTTGAGGAAATCGTGGTTTTCTTGGCAGATACAATTTGTTTTAACGACAAATAATCACGGATGGCGGGCATCGTTTAACAGGGTTGTCAATATTTTTTAATTTGAAAATTTCCTAACATTTCCAGGTTTCTCAAAAGAAAATCATATTTTCCATACACAAAATTTTGTAGTACTCATTATTTTAAAATATGTTTTTGAAGAGTTATTCAAAAATAGACAGCATTAAATACTCAATTCTAAATTCCACTACTTTCTGGATAATTATGTAACCTAAATCAAAATAGGTAAAATTTTATTATTAAATGTAAAACCGGCGAGAACGGCCGTTAATATGTTTTTATGTGTTGTCGTTTTGTCCACAATGATATAATATCCCTTCAGCGTGTGCACATACTTACTCTTCTATTCATACAACTGTTTTTGGCCGGATATTTCATCTTGTGTTCGTCACATTATTTGTCACTATCGCCCCCATAGACGGCAGTTCACACACTGGCAAAGAAGTGTCTATTTAGACCTTAGAGCTAACCGTATATACCTTTGAACCGTTGTGATTAATGATTATATCCTATTGCGGAATTCGTTTTTCACTTACCCATATGGTGTTTGTAGGGTATATTACATTCCACTTTCACAAAAATACATACTACTTAGCAGTTAGCGGTACTATTCAATTGGCTCCCAAGATTCTATATACTATTGAATTGGCTCTCTCAACATTCGATTCGTAAATACAAGGGCTACCAAAATTACATTATTACAATGTTATTTTTGTACATTTTTAAAATGGCCTTTTGAATATGGATGTAAAATAATATTTAGCTAACAAATGGAAACCACGAATAATTTTAATTAATTTCAAATCGTTGAACTGTTTGAATGTGCTTAAATGACTTGTGTACGATTATATTATAAAATTACATTTTTGGCAATTTTTTAGTTTATAGTACTTGTTTTATACCAAATATTAAATTGAATATGTTTTTTTAGAATTAGTCAATCGTTTTACGCATTAAACAAAAAGAAAGACTAAAACTCATTAAATAAAAAAAAATCAATATGCATTTTAATTTTTTTTTTTTAATTGTCAAAAAAACTAAATCTAAATGAATTTTATTAACGTTAAAATAAATACCTATTTAAGTACTAAATTATCAAAGAACATTTTTATTATAGAAAAAATATTTTACTCCCTCTCCCCAAAAAAAAAAATTATTTAAATACTTAGTAACTATAATTTTTGTTTGTGTTTCTCGATAAAAGGGATTTTTTTCCTAGTTTCTAAAAATGTACAAGAAACAACAATGCTACAAAAAAAAAATTAATAATTTCAAGAATTCAAAATTGAATATTTCTTTTGGTACGGTGCTTTATTTAACACTCCTAGTAAATATTAATGATCATTGATCTAATAGGAGTTTAGTATTTTGTTAAGAGGACGTTAGACCCCTTTTATCAAGGAGTCAGGTATAGGCAATTTTTTGCAAAATCTTAATGGAAAGGTTAATCTGTGATGTAAACTGTTTTTAGTTCAGTAATTAGAACTCTTTTTTTGTAGTTAATTTATTTTTCGGAATAACACAGCATCCACACGCATATTCTCTATTATTAACTAAAATAATAATCGTAGAAAAACGTTTTCTACATATTTAAAATGATTAGAACTTTATCTAGGTTCTTACTTTTTTCGTAGGTTTTTTTTTTGATAATACTAACCCACATTCACAATTTATATTTTAATTTTGACATTTTTTTATTTTTTTAAGTGCTTGTATTTAAGGTAAAATTCAAGTTTTCTAAAAAAAAACCGACAAGAAAACCTAGTTGAAGTTATTTTCTTTTTGCCGGTATCAATATTTGTTTTTTATGATCATTTCTCGCTTGGACATACACGCTTTTCCATGAACACCTTTTTAACTATTATTCTCTAATGGTATGTAATATAAAGGTTAAAGGTACACGGTAAAACCGTTGACTTTAGAATATACAATTAAGCTATTTTTTTAAATCAACGCTATAACGCAAATTGGGCCATTGCACACAAACTACAAAGAAAACGAGTAGATATAACAGCAAACATCTAGTGAACGTGTTACGGTATGGCTCACAAAATCCCTTGGGATAATTGGACACCGAAATAAAAGGCACAACTTTTTTATACGTATAGTGTAAGTACAGTATAGTTTATAATACGTTGGGGAACATTTATTCCGAAAGTAATAATATTTTGTAGATTCGGAATGTTTTCCTATTTATCACGAGATCATAATATAGTAATTTAAAGCAATGCCATAATATTTTTTATTGTATCCTCGAGGTGGTCATTTATAATATAGTATAATTTCACTATAGGTAGGTTAGGTACACACTTCTATACATTATACGTGCATTATAGATTTTTAATACAGATTAATAGCAGTCCGTAATTGTTAAACTTTTATCATTTTTCACATATCGAATTAGAATTATGTGAATGTATTTATTATTTTGTGACAACACGCGTAAAAAATCCTATATATTATCCAATATATTTTTAAAATAATACTTTTCCCATATATTTTTACTATAAATATATATTAATTTGAATGCACTGTAAAATTACACAGTATGATTAATTTGGCCCAAAGGCCAAAACACATTTTTGTCATTTTAACACATTCAAACAACCCATTTTTCTTAGATACTGTGTATTGCATTGATATTTACGCGTACACTATATTTACATACACATATTTATGATACTTAAAAAAAATAATTTGGAAAATCATTCAAAATTATAACAACATCAACGAGAGATTCGCATTAAATATCTTAAATAGTTACGATTTAGGTATATTTAAAATTTTAGCATTGTCAGTTAGTGCAAACGACTTAAGAGCAAAGTAAATAAAAAAGTAATGTTGGTTACTGTTGTAATATGTTGGTTAACAACATGATATGTACATTAGGGTGGTTCTTATTTGCACGATTTTCGAATTTCAATTTTGCCCCCCCCCCCCATTCGATTTGAAAAAAAAAATTTAAGCCAACTTTGAACTTTCTAATCATTCCCTGAAACGAGGAAAAGTTTTCCGTTTAAAATAAATGCAGTTTCCCTATTTTAACTTGATTATTGTACAAAAGGGCAAATTATTGACGAAACAAATGTAATTTACATGAAATTGTCGAGGATCAGCGTTACTTTAAGCATGAATTATTAAATGATCTTAATTCGTGCTTTTAGGTAAAAAAAAAAAAATGTTAGCTTCTGCTTAGTACTGTATAGTTCAATAATAACAAAGAATGAGGATCAAATCCATACCTGATACAGATTGTGTCGGAATTCCGAAAGGTATTTCCTGATACCAAAAAAAAAAACGATTATAAATAATTTTTAAAGTAAGCACTCAATAAATTTCAATTACTTTATAATTTCAATTACTTTATAATTCTACTAAAAATGTACCGTGCTAGTATTTTAATTCTTCAATTTTTTTTATTACTAATTTAGTTTAGAGTTTTGGAAATGAATATAAATATATATCTTTATGTCTGTAAATGAAACATAAAAAATAATTTTGTTTTTAAATAAAACTTAACGGGTTTTAAAGTTATTCTTAACCTAAATAATGGCACTAAGGACTCAAATATTTTATTTTATTGTTATTAAGAATAAATAATTTTTATCCTAAAATGTAGTTTAATTGTTTTGATAGAGTTGTGAAATAACGTTTTATTTTTCAGTAAAAAAAAGTTTAAAAATCGTAATTGTGCAGTGTAAAAAATTTATAAAATTACCCATACATTTTTTTTGTAAAATTAGTGATAATTTCATGTAAAATAAATTTATTGCGTCAAAAAATGGCCTTCGTAATACAATAATCAAGTTAAAATAGGGAAATTCCATGTATTTTAAACGGAAAACTTCTCCTCGTTACAGGGAATAATTAGGATTGGATTAGAAAGTTCAAAATTGGCTTAACATTTTTTATTTTTTTTTTCAAATTAAATGGGAGGCGGCACAATTGAAATTCGGAAATCGTACAAATAAGAACTACCCTAAATTGTACAAATTAAACCACCTCTCTCATAACCTCTATGAACTTTTCCTTTTTTGGTTAAATGTCGATGACCCAAATAATGACTTATGTGTGCGAATAATAATAATATGATTATCATTAATATTATTTACCATACATGATTTTTGATTACCTACACACTATTGGTACGGTGGTGTAGTTTAGTAAAAAAAAAAAAAATGGATAAAAATTAAATAAATTTACACGCATAATATATTTTTACAAATCGGTCAAGAATGATATATATTTTACTAATATTATAAATCAGTTAATGTGTAATCGTATTCTTTAAAACAATTATTTATACATCTATAACGAGACTATATTAAAGTATTAGTTGATTAAAAAAAAAATGATCAAATTTTGTTCACCTACTGCTTGCTATTATAATCTTAAAACGTAATATGCATATGACTTATGAGACGACTAAACAAATAATCAATTAGGTATATTATAAGAGGTTTTCTTCATCTTCGGGGTAATTTTCGTTTTTTATTTCTATCATTTTTTTTATAATACTTGGCGTATCTGAAAAGAAATCAATAAATATTATTTTAATAAGCAATAATAATACATAGCAAGTAACAATATACGGTAGGTAGCCTAAAGCTGTTGTTTGGATATTACATCACGGTTAATGTTTATTTTCAACAACTAGTATATGTAATATAATACACTTTTGCTTTTAAATTACTTTTAATATATTCTATATTTTTTAGTTCTTAATTTCAATTAAATGTTAAAATGTGTGTGTGCTTAAAAAAGAAAATTTAACTTAACAACGAGGTATAAACGGTTTTAACTTTAATTTCAGCTGAAAACCTCCCTGGAAATCCCCCCAGACGCCTCAAAAGAAGATGGTGCCGCGACTTAAGACACTAATTTATCTTTATATTCATTGAGGTGCCCCTAATGTGGGGTTTCCTCCTCGTGTTAATTATTTTTCAAGTGTATATATTATTGTACATAGTTTATAAAAAATACTCATTGTAAATAATTTACAGATTGTATGTTTTTTTTCAATAAAAGTCAATAAAAAAAAATAAAAAAAACTAATTTTGGTGAAAACCAAATGGATAAGAAGTAATTATTTTACAAAATCTCCTAAACAGGAGAGATAATTGAAAATTATATTGCAATAGGTTTTTATAAAATTATATTACGATGTTCACCCACAACTCTTAAGCATAAGTATAGTTTATTCAATATATCTTTCAAAATTTCACCTAACCCCATAGGCTATATATCTAACAAAGATAGAAAAATAGTTTGTTGACAATTATCTTATGATCAAAAATTTAATTAAAAAAAATTGTCACTTGAATCCAATAATTTCGATCACTTAATTAATTAATTAAGGGTTTTCTGTTGTTAACAAAATATAGTTTTTTGTTTTACAGGAAATACAAAAATTGTAAAATAATGTACAAAAAACCAATACTGTCATGTTTATAGGATTTCATAACTTGTAAAACTCAAAAGCCCATTTGTATATGTTCTATATTTCAAAATATATTAAATGTACGTGACTTACCCGTGTCTATGTATGCATCGTAGCTGTTCATATCTTTTACTGATCTTCCTAATCTCGGACCAAACCACAAAGCTGAGGATTTTATATCACTTCTTCCAATCCTCGGGAAAGGGATCAGACCTTCTCTTTTATGATTGGATAATTCTTTTTGTTCGTCTGAATAAAATCATTTAAATAACTAGTAAATAAGTACGCATTTTATTTATAACTACTGTTTCATGGGTTTGTATTATACAAACCTATGTACAGTAGTTATAAGTTACATTATATTTATAAAGCATGCGGAATTCTAAACATTTACTAAAAAATACTATTCGGGTAGGTATATGTACCTAGATAATAACATGAACAAATTATTTTGGAAATAATCTTGTTTTTTTATTTATAATTTAAAAAAAAAAAAGTTATTTAAACGATAGTTTATAATAGGTATCTATTCTAAAAAACAATACTTCTTTTTTTTCTGAACTTCAAATTAAACTATTCATACAAAGCTCAAAGATCTAAAACCTAACGTATCATCTATAACCTAAAGGTGTGTAGGTATATTCAGTAATATATTGCATGTATATTATTAGTAAAAACTGTTAAACAAATACAATTAAAATACATAAAGGTATCGTCAATGTATAATTCTTACAAAAATTCCGTAAATTATCCATATTAGATCTTCCAACTCTAGGAAAAGCGATTAATCCTGCAAACGATTCTCTTCTATTTCTGTTAATGTCCCGTTTTAATTCATCGTTGTAAAATAAATCTGTAAATAAAAATGATACATTCTAATATACGTTAACACAGTGTAAATATAAACATTAAAATTAAAACTGTACATAATATACAAAATAATGTAGTATTACTTTAAGAGATATTTCTTTTTTTTAGCTAAAGGCCATAAATGTAATATCAAATTAAAATAAACCCATAGCCTATAGTTAAGGGTACACCCAGAGGTACACCTTTTAAACGAATATTTTTTTATAAAACGATACCTAGAGTACATTAAATAAATCCGTTTTAGTTTGCTTTGAAATGTGCATGTTAAAACGATTGACAGATTAAAATTCCAAAAAAAAATTAAAATTAACATTTCGTTCTTAGTAACTCAATTTGTTATGACATTATTTGTATTTTTATGAGAAACATTATCATAAAAAAGCCCAAATTAAATAATATATTATACTTTTTTATCTAACTGTAGGTAAAGCGACTATGCTCGAGTTTAAAGTAAAATAATATTTAATTTATAATAACGTTATGGACATCCTTTCATTAGTATACAAACCATGTTTAAAAAATGTCTGTGAAAACAAATTGAGTTAAACAATCATTTTTAAAAAGTAAAAAAAAGCTCCTTTTTCACTATAATAAAGTTATTTCCAGACTGACTGTTGTTTTTACATATTACATTACACATTTTTTATAACAATGCACAGTTCAAAATCATACATGCACGCTGCACAACACCCTTGTTATAATACTATGTGTTCCTTAGCTTTGGATAAACTTACAATTAACAAACAAACATTATATAGCATTATTATATATACTAATGTAATTTTTGCAACGGTGTAAGTAAAAGTCAGTGTAGTTCATAGAATAAAGCGGGTTTGGAGGAAAATGTGAGTACCAGGAGTGAGAATGTGTGGACAACGTTAGAAATGAGTATATATAAGGAATTTAGAGATAGAGTTAGACAAGAATTGGATGAATGTTATAAATAAATACGTGGTGAAAGAAATGACGATGGATAGACGTTTTTCGATGGTAAGGATTTAGCTGTTTAAGAACTTCATTTGCACGGGATAAGGCGGAGAAGAAGAAGATACACTATTTATGAAACAAAACTAATAATATATAATAGGCTATATGACGAAAATAATACATAATGAGACGATGATTTCTGAAATTTTATTTCCAACCTAAGCCTATTGAAGAAGCCGACAAAATACACTTTTTTTATTGAATTGAAATCGGCCGATCCTAATATTGATATTTTTGGTCAAACAATAAATCATAAAACAGCATAACTAATATTATAAATATTATAAGGAAAAAATTGGATTCTCGGCTGACATAAATTGAATTAAAACAAATTTGGTAAAATTTGGATTGAAATGTAATTAGAATACTTAGTTCTGTAGTTTTACATGCTTATTGTTTTAAACATAAGTTTTCAGCCCTTGCCCTTGTACAATAGAGATACCTACCCTAGCTATGTTACTCGGACATTAAATCGATTACCAGTCTCCTTCTTATTAAATGATTAGTTGCTATGTATTTTGCTATTAGGGATGTTTATCCCTGTTGCTGCTATATGCGTCTTTATACGGACAAGAGTTTTGACGGGCGTAAAATATAATAAATGGGTATCGGACCAAGCTTAAATTCCAAACACGTCACCATAAATTCACCGGATTGCTTAATGGCTGGATGTTTAGACTAATTCAAGTTAGGATATATTCTGTACATACTTGAAAGGGCAATCTATTTCCCGAGTGATGTACATTATATTATAACACCTTATTGTTTTTTTTTTTTTGGTGAAAAAATGTTCTACAGAAAATCGAGTTTACATTTTTCTACTTATAACATAGTATCCAGTAAAAATAAAACAAAAAACTATAATATAAAATAACCAATACCATAGAAAACCGGAAATAATCGATTTCATTTTATAAAATAATTCGAGTTTCCAAAACTAACAAACACGTTATTGAACAGATAATAGAATAACACATATTTAAACCTTTATCTTACTTAACTTTTTTAAAAAACACAAAACTAACAAGTCATAATTATTATGAATACCTCAAGGCTTAACCTTAATAATGTGTCCACTTTTTCTAAAAGATAAGTAAGGGTGAAGTAATCTAAAGCATATTCCATACAAATTTTAGAAAAGGTTTAGAGCGCCGTAATTTTAAGTTAGAATATATGTTATTTTTGGGGTTTTTTGTTGTAAAGGGAAAAACATGAACATTTATAAAAAACAAATTATAATTTAATTTAAATATTAAAAACAATTATTGTAGATACAATATCTTCTCAGCTTCGCATCGAAGTTAAAACTAAGTCGAAATCACAGAATTCGTGTTTTCCAAAAAATGTAATTTGCTATGAAACTAATATGAAAAATTTAATTTTTCCAAAAAAATATAGTACATTAATAACACTGCAATATTTTGTTTTATTTATATTACAGGCATAATAATGTATACATAATCACGCAAAAATCAATTTATTGATTACAATAGGAAATATTAATTAACACATTAACCTGTGTACGTGTATATAATATATATACATTCGCATTTGACTACTCCACGCTGTTCAGTTGTGTTTATAAAACAATAGAGTTAACGTCGGAAATATTCAATCATAGAGCCTATATATTCTAATGTATACAACTGACATACTGGCAGATTAGTACTATAATATAACATGTTATAATAAAGCAAGTGTATTACATTCCATTAGGCATTATGCAAAAATTAATAAAACATATGCAAGGATAATTAATATGATAAAACATTTATAAACGTGGTGAACCTCTTTTTTTGTTTTTAAACACTGTGTTAAAAAAAAAGTTGTACCAGAAAGTTCCTGACAAATAGCGACTGACTGAACTATCACGAAGCTAGACCTTATTCAAAATAAATTTCAATTGAATATAAAATATATGTATGAAGGGCACAGGGGAAAAACGGTAGTTGTCACACTATGAACATTTTTTTTTTCAAATAGTTTCTTTCAATTTATGCCAATAGTTTTTTTTATTTATGTCAATAGATTGTTTAAATAAATACATTTATTGTTAAAGTAGCATTTAGTGTGATTTTTTTTGTTTTTTTGTAAGAGGTAGAGGAATTCACGAACTTTGTTTTTGCTATACTCTAAAATTTTCATATATATATATGTATATATAGTACTTAATAAAATATACAGTACCTATTTAATTTAGTAAACAATACTTTTAACATTCAGCTCTAAAGTCAATTCCTCTATATCATAAACAAACTTCACATGAAAGGGGAGAAAGACTCAAGTATTTTCCCCTTTGTTTAGTAGAGATTTTCAAAGAAAAAAAAATTATTATTTTCACTATTTCTTATAACATAGGTATTACCTATGGGTCAAATTAAAACTAAATAACCTATATTGGTTCAGCTTATTTTGATGTCAGAGAAAAAAGCTCAATTTAGTTTTAACTTTTGGTCGAGTTAAGTATATCATGGTGGTATTAAAAAATGATAATAGAACATTAATCATAAAACAGTACAGGTAAGCTACCAACTTTAACTAAAAACAAATATTTATTTTGTAATATTTGAAATGAAATGAAAAGACTAGGGATGCAAATAACTACAGCAGAGTGTAAGAGATATTTACTTTTTAGTTCTGAGAAGGCCAAATTTATTATGTAAATAGCAAAAGTGTGACTTAGTAATTTTTTTTAATGATATTGTGTTTTATAAAAAAAAAAAAAAGTTTTATAAATATAATTTTAGTAACATAAAAGAAGAATGGTGTTACAAGAGGGTCCAAGAAAATCGCGTGTAAAATAGATCAAATGGAATTACTGTTTAACAATAACATTTAAAAAAAACCATAAAATTTTTAACATTGTTTGAAAGCTAAAACTACACTTTTAGACAAGACATTCTCATCTAAAAATATAACGTTATTTAATTTTACAATTTATGTTTTCTACTATACTTTTAAATTGTATAATACCACATAAACTACGTTTATACTATGCAAGAAAGAGCTTATGTTTTTTTTTTTAAGATTTTCTTATTAATGGTTTTGTTACAAGCACCTTTAATGCTCACTTACCTATAATAATGTCTTAAACTATAATTATATCACCTGCTCGTTAAAAGTTGTTAAATATTTTTTTTTTATTAATGCACTCTAAGGAACTTAATATTATTATGTATTATGACGTATGATATTAACTAATAATCATTTTTTTTAAAATTGTGAACATAACGGTCTTGAAATAGCAATAACAGCCTCATTTCCACTTATTTATCTGTTATTTAATTTGTGTATTCAAATTAGCTATTAGCCGGATACATTTGTGAATTTGATTTAACGAATTTTATTCGATTAATTTTAAGTTCTTCTATTTTAAAACTTTTAAAAAACCTTGAAAATATCATTAAATAAAAGATAGATGACTTAAAGCAGTACTTTCAGGAATCATCAAGTACTTAAAAATTAAAACCAGCGGCGTCATTTAGGGAAGGTAAGACCTCAAGATCACCCCCTCCCCCCCACCTAGTTGTATATATTAGATGCAACATTTCGGTAACTGTTGGGGACAGGGAGAGTTAATAATTACTTATTTCCATTCTGCCGTAAGGAAATATACACTTTTTAAAAATATTAAAATAATCAAAAGTTTTAATGATATGTTTTAAAATCAAAAAGTTTTATTTTATTAAGTTAATGCAATCACCAATACGTGCTACTTTTGCTAAATTACTGTTTTATATGTTTTTAAACCGTTTTAATTCCTCAGCTAGAATTTTTTTAATGTCATTATTTATGATACATTCGCATCTTATTAATTAGGTATTTATTAAAAAGATCGTTTCAGTAACTTCAAAATCCTCTTAACAAGTTTTCATTACTAATTATAATTACTTAATTACATAAAGTGGAAAATACGCTTATTATAAGATTATCAGTGCCTATAATTACTTTGTACCAATATTTTTTAACTTTAAACCCGTATCGTTTTTTCTTTGCGAATTGCCTTTTTCTACCAAACGTAAAAAACACAATATATTGTAATACATTGGAATTTGCGAAGTAGGACCTATCTGGATAAAAGGGGTTTGCACTCTCTGATTAAAAACAGTATAAATTAAAGTACTAATACACAATATTTGGCAAAATTCAGGTTCCGGTCACCTTTCAAAGTTATTTTGACACTTATTGGTATTGTACAGGTCAAATATATATAAATATATATATTTTTTTTTTATGTGCTTAGACTGTCTAACGATACTGTTTTACCGCTCTTTCCGATTTCTTCAATTATACATTCTATAGACCAGAAATTATACACCGTAGGTATAAAACTAAAATTTAAAAAAGTTCACTCCTCCCCCTTCAAAATCGAGAACATAACACTCTAAATATTTACATATTCCGAAAAATATTTTCAGATTTGTAGTGGTACTATTTAGATATAGCAGCATTACAGATCTACAGTTGAAAAGCCAAAAGTCATTAACTATTTTAGACTTGAGGTTTATAAATTGGACTGATGGTAGCTAATCTAGTGTGCATTTTTATTACATAGGTACCTATGTATAACTATTATATAATTATGAGGAGGTTTATTTATCACATAACTTCCCTTTTAGTCTGGTGTGTACCTAGTGTAGTATAATAGTATACAATATAAAACTGTTGTTAGCTTTTTTTCATTATTAAAGAAACCCAAAAAATGTAATAACACGATTATAAATAGCCTATATATGAATTTTTTTTTTAAATTTAAGTTAATTACAAAATAATAAATAAATTATTATATTATATTATTTATATAATATATATTTATTATTATTATATTAATTATTATGCATAAATACTTATGCGGGGTGTCAAAACTTAAATAGTCTAAACTTTTCTAACTTTAAAATAAACAATCAACAGGCAAAAGAAAACCCTTACCAAAATCATAACAATATGTTATAACATAATGTAATAAGTGTTTTTCTGAGCTAACATAGGCCGAGGGTATTTATGTGTATACACGAGAATTAACAACTAAATGAGACGGTGACATGATCCAGACGTTTTAAAATTTGCCATACATTTTCAAGGGAAAATAACGTGTACTCCCATAAAAGTACGACGGTAAATTTAACAAGTAAATCAAATAGATATTTGAAAATAAATACATTCTTTTCAATTGATTCAAACGTTAACAAAATACTCCATTTAGTTTTTTAATAAGAATCGGTCACGGATTATCAAAGATTATTATTTAAACCATTGGCCTAAAAATAAATAAAAAAAAACTCCCAAACGTATCAAACCTCCTGGATCATCAATTGTGTTCAGGCTAAAGTTCTTTCTCCCTCCCACATACTTGTTGATCAGCTTATTAGCTTGACAGATACTACACTAAAATAACAAATTAAAAAAATAATACTAGGTACACAGTACAATTTAAAAAATATCCTATACAAAATGAATTGAAATATATTTTACTATATTTACATATTTATATTCTCCTGACTTTTTTCTCGGATATTTTGGGTCAGTTGCTCGTGTATAGAACAAATAGTTTAAAAAACGTTTAATATGAAACCTTTGTGATGGGAATATAGTTAGAGATTAACTGTGTAACAATGAATGCTATATTGCTATGGTAACAACGCTGGTAAAATTTTAGATTTAGCGTTGTGTTAAAATAACAGAGATGCAAAATTTGTGAGGGGAAAAAATACAATCAACCAGCTTAATAACACATTGTACATGAATAATACACATAAAAAAGAATTTAGTATTATAAACTCAACAAATTTACATTATAATCACTATTTTTAAATGCATTTAAAATTTAAAAAATAATAATAAATTGAAGTACCAGTTATATCAATAAATTGAAGAAAAAAAACGTAAACCAATATTTTCTCAACTTCTCACCGATGTTATAATATATTATATTATAAATAAATAACCAATAATTATTTACTCGGATCCTCTCAAATTTAATTAATTGATTTAAATGTTAATATATATTTTGTGAAAGCACTCACCGTGATGTTTAGCGCAAGTGGAGCAATAGAGAGTAAATGTCAAAAGCAAAGCATATGTGACATATGTGTGAATTAACTTCATTGCCAAATCCGTACAGCTGTCTGATGTCTTCTTTCTTAAAATAAAAATGCTATGATTACAATTGAACGTGTACCTGCTTTCCCAAGTGTCAAAGATATGAACATCAAAATAACCGGGCAGGAGAATTTATACTGGGGTGAATAGGAGGAGCTTACCACCTTTGACGCAACAAGCCACACATACATAACACGCCGATTCAAGCTGGATTATTTAAAATATATTATTTTCAAAGTTAGTTTCATGACAAAAAGTAAAATTTAATTTACAAAATTAATATTGTTATATAAAATTTAAAAAACAAGAACGTGTTAAAAATAAAATATGATGTTTCGAAGTATGTAAATTCGTATAAAGAATAAACTAATAACAAAAATCTACAATTGTATCTTTTAATTTGGTTAGGATAAAAAAAAAAATTTTTGCGTTAAAACGAAAAACTGAGAAACTACTGTTCGGTCTTATATTTCCCTGTACATGTCAAGTACTATAATGCATTAATAGCGTTAAAACAGCCTGAAAAAATACTCAAACTGAAAAAATCCAAACAAAATGATAAAATAATCTAAACAAAATTGCAGCTTTAATGTTTGTACTTTGAAGATCTTTCATTTTCCTAAATCCTAATGAAAACTATTTTATACACAATTTTTAATGCCAGTAGTCGATAGCCTGATAAAAAAAAATGTATCCAATTCACATAATTGTAAAATATAAGTATTTCAACTTTGACATATTTTTTTTTATTCTCTAGATAAAATATATGGGTACCGGTACTCGTACTCCAAACACTGTCGTTTTGTAGGACCTTAAAATATTTTTTCGATTTGTATCTAAGGTGCTATCGGATTTAGAAAAATCTTTTAATAAATATTTCATGAAAAGTGAGGGAAAAAAATATGTTTTAATAGGCCTGTAATAGTTTATAAACCCATTAATAGGTTTGTTTATACATACAGGAAAAAGGTTTCTTACCAAAGGGACTTTTTGTGATGTTAAATTTCAAAAAATCTCCTTTTGGTTATGAAAATAGAAATGAACAGCAAATGTTTTACTTACCGCTTTGCTGGAGGTTGTTTTATAGTCCCTTACAATACTTAAGTTGTATCGTGTTAATTTTTCAAGTGTAACCATATTACCTTTTTCTGCCTTTCTCTGCTTTAGCGTCATTCATGACTGTATGGTTCGCTAAACCTAATTACTAGAGAAAATATCAGTTAACCTGACTAAATCGTTTGGTTAATCATTTATGCAATTTACAGCCGGAAAGTGTCCGTGTACTGAATAACGTGTAAAGAAAAGGAAACAGACACATAAAACCCCAAACACATAAATTCCATGACAAGGAAGATGAACAAATACTTCTCCAAACAAATTGCTCGACATAAAAATTAAATGTTAAAAAGTTCTCATTAACTACAAGCCCTATTTACCTATCTAGACTTGAACAAACGGCCACCACAATAACACACATGAGACACTCTACTCACCGATTCTACTTAAATAAAAATAAATATACGCCTAATTATTCATATAATATATAAACAATTTCCAATAAACTAAATTTCTATTTTGTGTACTCAAAATTGCCTTCAAAATCCACATTTCAATAAATTTTTAAAATGTTGTCTGTAGATAATTTAAAAATATATTATAGTTGTAAGATATACTTTTAGTTTAATTTTCAGGTCAAGTTTTCCAAGTCTTGGTTGTGAAGTAATTCATTTTACATTTAATCTTGTTCCTCTCGTTAGAGGTTACAAAACGTACTTACCTATATTTATACAACTTATTTAAAACTAACAGAATATGTGACAAACAACACTTGTCTCACCCCTTGAATGTTTTTTTTTTCAAATAATAATTCACGTGGGTGGACACGCAAAATGTCGACTGTAGTAAGATACACACTTTCCGTTAGGTCTTAATAAATATAACTAATACAGCCCACTCGCTAAAAAAAAAAAAAAATAATGAATACAATTCTGGCTACGGTACTAGAGTGGTGAGTTATTAGTTATTACTATATTATATTACCCACCTGTTGACCTGTTAACTTATTGTGGAATGAGATTGTTTTCGTTGATATTTCATATTTTTTTAGATAACTAATATATTTTTTTTGTTTTTAATTATTTTTATAGATTTCACCAAATCGCGATCAGCTATGACGTTCAGGACCTGTAAATATCCACTTAAAAAATATAATTAAATACTTGTGTATTGGGTACATTAGGTACCGTTATCTTGCAAAAATGATTTATATTTAATATTTGTATATCATTTACTGTTTCGCATCGAGGCATTTATTTGAAATTGATTTTCACACGTCTAGCCAAATGGCTATTAGTGAGCAGCCTGAACTTGTGTTAGGCTTTAGTCTAAAAAGCCTAACATAACATTTTGACTACTTAAGATAGTCCGATTTCAATTCTGTAAAGACATCAGCGTTTATTTGCTACTTTAATAGGTTATGGTGAAACCGAATTTTTAATTTTTGATGGAAAAAATTGCGTTTTAGTGTTGTAAAAAATGTTCAAATTTAATTTATTTAATTACAAAAAACTGAACGTTTTAAATGAAAATCGGTTTCTAACATCTCCGAGTCAAAAAAAAAACAACAACTTGTTATCTTTTAACAGAACTGAACTTGGACCAGCTAAAGTCTCACAATTCAATCACAAAAAAGTACTTTCTAACAACAAAATGGCTTTTGTCATAAAACATTTTAATACGAAAAAAATAATACCCTGAAGCTTATACAAATGAATGTGAAAATAAATTGATACAGTTAAAATTAATTGAAACCACTTTTTCTTAGGTAGGTATTGCTTAAATAAATTCCTTAAAAACCGCTCGATTTCAATTTTCTGAATCTAATGATATACAGTCTGTCATCTGTGGATTGTATTAATATTTTTATACTTTGCTAATAGGTACAATACTATATAACAATTCTGATTTTTAACATTTTTTTATTACAACATCTGCATGTTTTTTTTAACCTTTTTTTTTTTACTTTTGGTCTCTTAAGTTTTTTAACGATCCATATAATGAATATATGTTCAAAAATTCAACTATATTGTCTACAGTTTTAAAAGTAAACTATACGTTTAAAGAAAAATAGATTAGTGCTAATTGATATTCTCATTAATTGGCATAGTGGCATTGGTGTCGTTTATAAGTTTTTTCTAACAATAAGATGTGTGTAGGTCGTAGGATGTGTGTGTGTGGGATTTTTTGCATGGAACTAAATAAATATATTATTCTTTTGACTCATGGCTTTAAGAAATATTTATATTATTTTTCAAACTAAAAACGTATAACACATATTATTATATTCACCAGTTTTCGAGGTAATAAAAACAACAATCGTTGGACGTTCTAAGTCTTTCTTAAATGAAGACAAGGGGAAAAAACAATAATTTTTGGGACCAAAGACGGAGTCATTATGCTTCGGGGCTATAAGGAAATTTGCCATTCATTGTTATCCTCCGTAAGCTAAAGTTTATAAAAAGAGTTTTTAATTTAGCTACAGAGCCGAGGTAAAAAAAAAGGTAAAACGACTACAACGTCGTTTATATGATGATTTTTTTCTAATATTGACATAACGTGTAGTCTCCTCAGTTTTGCTTTAAACGTTTCTGTGCTAAAAATACGACCCTGCTTCGACTACTTTGCTCGTTAACTTCTCGTTCGTGTATACTGACACTAATAAAATACCTGATAATACAGGGTGATTGGTTAACTACGACCGTCGTTATTTTAAAAGGTGCACGATTTTTTAAAAGTATTCTTTTTCATAATTTTATAGTTACTAGTTCGCCCGAATTTTTTCAACACTCATCCCTTAAGTGTTGAAACCCAATTAACTTAATACTTTTAATTGGTAGAATATGTATTAAATTTAATTATCTTTTAAGTAATTGTCCAAAATTGGTTATTGACCATTTGCAGAAACTCTTTTAATTGCTTAAGGTCTTTTCTCGCCGATGTCCTCTCATTTCGATAAGCACAATTTTTTTTAATTGTTTAAATTATCTTGATAATAAAAATCCAAAATATGAATCACACACTTAAACATGGATTTTAATAAAGTCAACAAATTAAACCAATTTTATTTATCTGGCGAACTGTGTAGTAAAAAACGTGTCAACTCGAGTCGCCATTCCCATTTATGTATACCGTTATGATGATGATCTATACATTTACATTACAAATATAAGAACCCAAATAACTTGTTTACCGATAGTAAATGCATAATCAACACATAGACTCATTAGTAGATAATTAGGCAGTAGGTAAGCGATGACATGTTTGATACAATTGTATATGTACAACTTGGTGTCTAATGCTGTTTGAAATAAATATTTCATATCATTGCTTACATAACCCATACAATAATAGATAAGTTTTAATTTACTTATAATTCAATAACTAAAATTAACATTTTGTTTTTATTAACAACGATGAACCATCATTTTAATTTTAGAAGATTCCATTATTGATTAATGGACCCTTACATCTAAGCCCGATTGTTCCATTATCTAATAAAACGTCCACCCAGAAACAAAGATCTAGAAAAATCCACTTATCTTTATTACTAACCTCAAATAAGACCAATATTAAATACTATCGCTATTTAGTTGTTTATTCAATTGGATGATTATAATAATAACAGATCTTTGGACATTAATAACATAAAATGTTTTAACTGGCAAAATAACTTTCTTTAAATAACAAGACACAAATTTTAAAATAGTGAAATCAAGATAAAGAATTAGTTTGCTAACTTTTCTTTCCTTTTGTATCATTTCAAAATAAAATAATAAGAAATGTATTTAATATTGTAAAATGTTTTGTTATAATATATAACTAAAAATGTCAACATTTTTTTTATGCATATAATTTATTAAGATACTTGTAATAAAATAAAAATATTCTTGTAAAGGGATTCAATATTATAAAGCTAATATCATTATCGGATTTCACAAAATATCTTTTATATTTGAAAATACATATATTGACTTCTATATTGTTAATTAAAAAAAAAACTTAATAGCTAATTGTAATACATGTAAAACAAACAAAACACAATATCTGAATATTGTTGTCTTTAGATAGCCAAACCTTACAATTGAAAAAAAAATATTTAAGTCTTAACATTCTTAAAATAAAAAAACTAATTTAATCGAGAAATTGCTATTCTATATACAAGTATACAATTAATTTCTACTTAATTTTATAAAATATATTTTTATTAAATATGAAATTGTAGTAATCGTTTACCCCACAATTTATCTCGTATATTTTATATTTACACATTATAAAAAAAGTTGGACTTGGTATAAAGATAGTATAATATAAATGGTTAATATTACGTTGTTAGCCACTGATAAATGAATCATAACACAATTAAATAAAAATATACATATTATGATTTCCTTTTAGTTTTTTTTTCTATTAAATCTAGTTACAAATGTAAATGTAAATATATTTATATATATATATATATATTTATATATTTATTTATGCACAAACGTTATATATTATACACATATATTTCATTCATACATAAACATGTACATGTACATAAACAAACACATATATAAATAAATATATATATAGTATATAAATACACTTATTTTGTATTTTTGGTTTCAAAACTTGAAAGTATCATTCAGGTGACATTGAAAAATGGTGTTTTTGTATAAATAAATTATTTATAATAATAATAAAAGGATTGGGGTAAAATGATATTCACATTATTAAATATATACATAGTCGTTTGAGTGTAAAAACAAAATGATTTTCAAACTTTTCTTTTAACAAAAAAAAAAAATTTGTTTTATAATTCGTTCTGTCAATTGTCAAAAATAATATAAAATAAAGTGAGGAAAGGTTGTAAAAAAAAAAAAAATTATTAAAATTTAGCTCTAACATATACTGCACTAGAGTCATGATCACTATAACCAAGGCGCTTTGCATGTTTAAATACTTCGTTAACACTTGCTGTAACTGGGCACGGTTGTTCTAGAGTATCTGACCAGTTCAATGATAAACTTAGGTCCTTTTGCGTATGCTTTAGAGCTTGATGTGTTTTGAAATTGTTTTCCATCATAGCTAAAAAGTGTATAAATTCAGTAATTTAAATTAACACGGATATTGACTTTCTATACTAGATATACCACGTCATAAAAATACCAACCTGTTCCTTTTTCCATTAGCAAGGAACATTTCAACGATGTCATTCCTAGTATTTCTAACAAATTTTTTTGAGATATTCCAGCTCTGTCGGCTAAAGCCATGCCTTCGGCCAGTCCGGCTAGTGCTACTGCTTTGATTGAATGAAGAATCAAGTTCATTTTGGTAGCTGAACCAACTTCACCTAAAAAACAATAACACTTATTATACTGTAATAAAGAATATTGTTGAAATTATTTTAATCAACAGGTTTTCTCATCTCATTACCCAAATATATTGAATGTTTGGCGATGGCACAAAACGCCGAGTGGCAATCATCATATAATGTTTTGTCTCCGGCAGCCATACAAATTAAACTTCCATCTTCTGCTTCGGGTTTACTACCTTGTAACATAGCTTCCAAATATCGGCCTCCTTTACTAATAATAGCCTTTAAAATCAAATGTTACGAATTATATAGACTTTATTAGGGGTTTAAATTAAGAAAGCTTGTATATTATTCCAATCATACCTCGCCAATGTCCTGAGACGTTTCTGGATCAATGCCACTCATTTCAACAAATCCTTTATCTTGAGTTATTTCAGAAAGAACTCCACAGTTACCAAATACCATCTACAAATGAATAATTGTGAGACAACAATAACAACTAAATAAACTTAAACACAACACCTCCGATTTGATGAAACTATTTTTGATATTCTACCCTAAATAGTAGCAATTCATAATTAAAACTTACGTCTTTAGCCACTTGTGGATCAGCCACACATGAAAAAGTTATATCTGAACCTCCAATCACATCAGATGGGGTCAACGCAATGATAGCTCCTGCATCTTGAAACATTTGGCTCTAAAAACAAATGAGCAAATAATTAATATACCTACATTAAAATATAATAATATTTTTTAATTAATTTTTAGTAAAATGAATATTTATAAATTATAATGAATTTTTATTTGAACTTAAGTATACACTAATCAGAAAAGCATGTCTCACTTTTCCATGTTTATACATAATATAAGATTATATATCTGAACTATGAGAGAACATAAGTAACATAATGATTCATATATTCTATACTCTTAGTAATACCATTGATTTTTAATTTTATAGATAGTCCACAGAGACAAATTTCAGTTCTGCACATCAACAGGGATGAGTGCTCTAGTAGTATTGTTTCCCAACCAGCGTCAACGTCCAGAACTGAAATTTGTCTTGGTTAACTATCTATAATATTTATAATCAAAAACACTTAATTTTAACTTAAACACGAAGCTAAGAAAGAAGGAAGCTCTGATATTATACAATGTTTTTATTTGTCTATACAATATTTTTACAATTCATTATCATTACATCATTATGTCAATTTTATATTCAATACAAATTTTAATTTAAGGATAGTGTTTTAATGAAATGAATACTATTACTGTAATTTTATTTGTTTAAATTTCCTTTAACATGACACATTTTAAATAAATAAAAATTCAAGTTATTATTATCAGTAAAAATAATAAACTTAATTCATTCAAATCGATTTTTTGTGAAAAATCAAGACCTAGAATTCTATACGCATATCTAACTTTTTAACATAAAATTGATGTTGACATAAAAAGAGTAAAATAAATGTCTTTTCAACAAGATTTTTGTTATGTTGGATGATTATTTTTGGTTTACGCGTAGTTAAAAAAAATATTTTCAACCTTAATTCACCCTTTCGTTCCTGGGATTTTTTTTTACGAAAAAGAAAATAAATTTTTTTACGTATCGGACTGATATTGATTATCAATATAGCTGTGTCAATTTTAATATCATCAATCTATACTAGAACTTGTGTTTAAAGACATTTTTGATAATGATAGTACGTTGTTAATATTTTATTTGATTTTTAAAGTTGAATCCTCGTACGAGGATGTCAGTAACGAAAGGGCTAATAGTTAAATTGTTATGGGAAAGCGGGGACTTCTTAAGAAAATCGTTTGGAATAGAGACATGTCGTGAAAATCTAATGACAAAAATTAAAAAATAATTTTCAAACTATAAAAATTAAAAAAAAATTTAATAATAAACGTTGTAGTTTCTAACTTCAAATTCATTGTTATGAAAAATTGCCTATGCGTAACAACACCATTGATTATGAATATGTATAATCAATGGCAACACTTTAAAAACAGTATGTATCCTCAAGGTCATGGGTATTTTTTAAAAGCCATAACTGAAATAAAAATTCGTTTTAATACAATTCAGTTAATTATTGTAATAACAGAATAATATTATCCTAAGAGCAAAAATAAAATTTGCTAAGTGCTAACGACAGGTACAAGTTAGTCCGATAATAAAGATAATAAAATAACAATAAATATTATAAAATATGATATTGTGACAAAAACAATTAATACATTACAGAAACGTGACACCACTGTAAGATGGCGGCAAAAATTGAGAAATAAAACATTGACCGCGTTGGCTGCACTGTTTCGGCCAAAAAAAATCCCCACTATCAAATTTCCATAGAAGTGCGAAGCGCAGATGTAAAATGACGTTAAGGTTTCTTGATTTTTATTGTTGTGGTCCATTGTAGTTTGAAATAATATCGAGATTTAGTCGGCGAGTGCAATCCGCGAATACAACAGTAGTAAACGTGTAGAAAAAAAAACTAATAAAACACATAAAATACCGAAGGTTGTGTACGACGAAACACGAACACAAATGAAATCCAACAGACAGAATTTTCAAACGTATCAAATCGATAGGTAAATAAATTCGTGCGGACGTTAAAACGTGATCAGTTTTCACAAATTCAGCGAGCATCGCAGATGTGTAATGGTCTCCTTGACATTTTGTTTCAGATAGTTCAAGATGTATACTGTCGCGACCATTCTTACGATCGTCGTACTCCAACACAAGGCTTCGTGGGCTTCAAACTCTAGGTCATGTCAAATGTGTGAATGCAAAAACAGTACTATAACGTGTGTCGACGTACTTATTGAAAACCAACAACAATTCAACATGACAGAAGACATTACAACGGTACACTTCACACGAACTCCAATTGAAACCATTAAAAACAAGTTTTTTACAAGTGAAAACCTACAAAACATTACGTGGATATCAAGTAATATTAAGAAAGTAGAATCGTTGGACCAAAAGAAACTAAAATATTTGGATTTATCAAAAAATGTCATCAACGAGTTGTCTCCCGACGCTTTTGCAAACTGTCCACAACTAGAATATATAGACTTATCAAATAATCGTATAAGCTACATACCAGACAATTTATTTTTAGAGACTAGTATGTTAAAAGTATTGAAACTAGAAAATAATAATTTTAACGCGATACCAAAACATTTATTTTCAAATCTAGAAAATCTAGAATACCTGAACGTTGCTGACAGCGGCTTATATAATATTTCTTTCGGACCACTAAAGAATCTTAGAAGTATTATTATTAGCAACAGCAATAATTTATCAACAATTGAAGAAGATTCTTTTAGTTCAACACCAAACATTGAAGTAATTGAAATAAATAATTGCAATAAACTTCAAACTTTACCTAACACAATTGCATCTCTGAAAAATCTCAAAAAACTACATATGGCCAACACAAAAATGGAAGTCAATTGTTATAATGGATGGTTTATGCAATGGGTAAATGAAACGAATGTTATTGAAGGATTCGAAGGGTATTCAGATTTTGTCACTAATATAAATAAACTCGATTGCCCTCCAAAAATTTATTACACCACCGGACCCGTCGTGTTCCAACTGACAGAAAATGGAACGATTGAATGCAAGGCGTACGGTAACCCATATCCAGCAATAACATGGCTAGCGCCAGGAGGTAGGACGTTTCATGAAAACAAAGAGACCGATAAAAACTTTACAGATCACCCAAAAGTGCACGATTGGGAAAATAAGCCAATATATGTGCCATCGATTAAGACAGACCTGAATGGTTCTATGCACATTTCGAGAGTGTTACGGGACAATATAGGAAATTATACGTGTTATGTTTCTAATATTCATGGCCATGATTCTCAAGTTGTAGTGTTGCGTTTAGATAGTAGTGTTTTTTTCAACATCAAGATAAATGCAATTTTACTAGGATTAGTATCGGCCATTGGATTTTTGATGCTAACTATACTGTGTTGTGCCTTCAAGTTACTACTAATTAAGTAAGAATTTTGAAATGAGTTTTGATTTTTATTTAACATCTGATTATTAATATTATTTCTACTTTTTAGAATGAACTGCATGAAGGCTAGAAAAATTCCAGTAGAAAACGAATTGGAGACTGTGGAAACAGAAAAGCATGTTCCTGAGCAAGTATAATTTCAAAATATTTTTATCATACAACATGAAGTGTTTGTACGTCTTAAGGTTTACACGAAATACAATTAACATACCTACTTAGTACAAACTATAATTTGAAATTTTTTTGAATAGGTTTACTATATTTCTATTTATATAAATTTATATATATGTTAAGTTGTTCATACTGTTTGATACAATAAAATATTCAGGAGATATTTAATTTTTGTAATATATTGTACATCAAAATTACAGTATTGAGAAATCAATTATTTTACAATATTGAAATTCATATTTTCAAAGTTTCTATAACTACTCGTTGGACATTTCTATGTTAAGTCTGTGAAAAATTTTTTTTTTACTGATCTTCATATTAAAAATAAAATTTGTTACAGTCTAACCAAATCAACTATAGAGAAAGGTATTGATTTAATTAAATAGATCTGTTTGTACATAAAATATATTAATACTGGTTAGTGGTACATTTTTGTATTAATCTAAAACTGAAAGATAATAATTATATATATATATCAATCTGTGGTTAGATGGTCAAGTTGATATGTCACTTATTCCAACTTACGGGAAAACAGTTCAAATGTTTAATCAATACTAATATTAAATGGATTTGTGACTTTTCTGTACTTATAAATATATTCCTTATGATATCAGTAACTAAAAACTGAACCGATAATTGGTTTAGTTTATATATAATACTAAAAAGAGGAGGGGAGCAGGACATCACTTGTGTATATCAAACCACTATTTATTTTGGCATATCAGCAAAATATATTTTTAAATGTTAACTTCCATTAGTTTGATAATCAAAGCATCCAGTCATACAGCATTTACCACTGTGTAATATATCGTATTTCTATAATTACATCCAAATTGACATATTTAAATTTTGCTATCCTACCACAGAAATACAAAAATTGTAAGTAACATGACCAAATATGAAAGTATTTATAAATGTATAGTTTCAACTAATACTAATTTATTTTTAAAACTTGTTAATTTATATTATCAACCTTTTTAATGAACTAAATTGTATTATTATTATATTTATAACACAAAGGTATAAAAACAGATTGTGGAGCCTTTAATAACCTTGGAATTCATAAATATTAACAGTTTTTAAATAGCTTTTATAAAACAGTTCAATTTTTTAATTATAATAATAATTAAAGGAACGACACAACAAAAAAAGATTAAATATTATAAAATAATTCAAAGTTTAAAATTTTTAAGTTGTTATTGATGATTATGTAATAGGTCAGATTCCTTTTAGTTACATATATAGCTATATACAACTAAGTTATATATTAATAGTGATAAAAGAAATATTTTTGTGATAATAATAGTAATTATTTATTTCCATAAAAAGATAATACCATTCATTCGTAACATATAAAAATTTCAATCAGATCAAAACAATTAGGTAATTGCTTTAGTAATGGAAATTTGATAGACTTTTTTTTGACATTACGATTATACAAAATACTTAAAATGGTGGAAAAACATACTGATGTTTATCCTAATAGTATACATTTTTTATAATCAGTGTCATAGTTATTCTTAAGAATCTATTTTCTAATTACTTGCAATATACACCCAGATTTTGTTTGAACACATCAATTTGTGTAATTACTTAATAACAAATAAAAATAATTATCAGAAATTGAACAAGTAATTTATGCAATGCTATCTTTTTAACAAAGAAGTTCAAATTGTATTTATTGTTATTAGTAGCATTTCAAGATAAACTACACTACAATAATTGTATAATTGGATGGTTTAATAATTATTTACTATCCATTCAATGTTTTTAAACAAACCCTATTATAATCTCAATAGAAATTTTTTTTGGATATAATATATCATTTGTTACTACTTCTTAATCTTTCATCCACTTGTCCAGTTTTTTTAAATTTTTTTTCTATAAAAATATGAATGAACTATTTTTTTGTAACTGTTTAATTAATTTGATAATGTGCATTATACATTTATTTTATTGAAACAACCATGTTAGAAAATGGCTTTGCATTTGAATAAATATTAATACTTTATTTAGCTTTTTACAATACTTGAGGTATTTTTTTAAGTCAAATTGATTTATGCAATGTATTATGGAAGGTTTTTTTTGGATATACTCAAGTTATATTTAGTACATAAATTATATTCATATTAAACACTGCTGATCAAAAAAAATTACTTAAGCCTGATTGATAAAATCAAAACGACTTGGATTTTGCCATTATTAACGTTAGTTTTGAAATTAACGAGTACAAGAAGAAACCAAGACAGTTCTTGTATAAATTATTATATTAGCCTATTCTACCTATTTGAGGTAACTCGTTTTGTGTCTTTACAAAATTAGAATAATGAAGGGAAAAAAAGATTAATAATGAAAAATACAAAACTATATTAAACGAGTACATGAACTACAGCAAACAACTCATTCTAGTGAAATATTGACAAACCATCAAGTGATATCAGTTAGTGAATGTGTAAAAATATATTGCAAATCGACATTTGGTTGCAACTACTAGAGTGAACGAGACTAAATATAAAAAAATAGCATTTATCAATTGAACTATTTGCATAAGCAATTATCCTGTGAAATAATGATTATGTTTTATACCAAAAATTGAGAGACGAAGTATACACTAATTTTGTCCTTTTAACCTTTAACTAATATTACATCATACCTTGTAATGACAAGGTTAACAAGAAAACATGTTTCATTAATGAAACTTACTTGATGACAAATTAAAAGAGAACGGGCTAGTTACGTAACTTGTCTTATTCAGTCAGTTGCTAGAAACTTATAGAATCTAGTTAATTATTTGATAGTATTTTCTGTTAACACTTTTTTTTATGTTTCTAATTTGTACACAAAATATGGAATAAAATACAGTAACTGAAACCAAATGAGGAAAGTTCAAGCCTATATTTGTCAAACAATATAATAATTAATATTAAAGTTTAACTGGTATTGCAAAGTTTAAATAAAAACACTAAAAATAAATTTTGTGGAATATTTGCTTTGTGTTTGAGGTACAAGCTTATTAAATTTACCTCATTTGGTCAAGTTATCTAATATAATTCGATTCTTAATTCACATCAATTACAACTGACATAAGTAAGATAAATCATAAGTCACACCAAGAGAAATTAATGAGCAAATTCCTGGAAAAAAAATTGTAGCAAGCCAAAGAAATGGATACATAAACATTTATAATCTTCAATGCTGACCTGAGAAGGTTTTGGTTTTACAATTTTTTTTTTTGTTTTACACTACTTTTATTTCATGACCCATGTTATAAATAATATCATAGGCTTAAATAAAGCCACTCGAACAATTAAATTTAATAGCATTTTTAGATATATCAGAAATTGTACCACGGTGTTTTCTTTATGAGAGCAAAAATGAAAAAAAGTTTGCTTCTTAAATTTTACATCTGAGTATAAACCAAAATAAACAGCAAAAATTCAGTTTATAAATTGTTGTTTTCAATTCTTCATATTATATACTAAGAAATCACAAAAAAACTAGTTTAATTTGTCAGGTAGGTTGTTTAAAACTGTTCTAAGCTAAGTATTATTTCATGAAAAATACAGTAAACCGTTTTTACACAGCTGTCTGGCTACAACCCAATAAAATGTTTACCGTGCAGTAAGTAGGGTAAACAAAATAATAACTAATAATAACTTTAAAAATTAAAAATACCCCTTAAGACGCCATACTCCCTTTCCCTTTACATAAATCTAGATTTAATCTGAATTTAAAATTAAAACTAAGAAGTGTTCTTTTAATTATTGGTACAGTATTGAGGAGCCTTTGTAGTGGGAAATTTTGTTTGATCAGATTATTATATCAGCTATAAACCTTACTATTCTGAAATAATCATAAAATCAAAACGTTTGGATGATACTTAAAAAACAATACTATGAATGTACATTGAATTACAATGGTAAATAATAATATAAAGATATTATTACACTGTGAATTGTAATTGAAAACAGAAAAAAAAAATTTTGAAAAATGAGGCTATTAAGATAATATTTAGAAAAAACCAACGGATTTACATAACTTTTCAATGACTACAAATAAAATAGGATGATTTGCTGGTTTAAAGCCTAAAATTTTGGCTGTGTCCTTTAAATATCATGAATTGTAATACACATTTTAGCTTTGATGCGATAGCTGAAAACTTATTAGTTTTATAATGATGTTTTTTTAATACTTATAAGGCTGATGAGGAGTTATTTCTCACATTATATTACATACCTTACCCCTTTTTTTTTACACAAATGTATAAATAAATACTAATTTAATGTAAATAAGCGTTCATTTCTGTCAAACATGATACAACATCTCAACGATAAATTACTTGTAAATTTAAATATGTTTATAAATTCACTGTAAATTCTATATTCTTCAACACGAAAACATAACAAAGTATACAATGATGGCCGTAGTTTGACCAAATTTTTTTGGGAGGTATTTTAAATTGTCAATTATACTTATTTGTACTTAGAGGATTATTTTTATATAAAAAAAACTAAAATTTAATAGACTTATGTATTAAAGTCTTTGGTTTTTAAATAGTAAACTGTATATTACACACCTATTTTGGTGTGAACATACTTCTTTAATAGAACAATATTTGTATTTTATTTTTTTTAAAAAACTATAAATTGGAGTCTCTAGAAAAAAATTGTAATATATAAGCTCCAATTTGTTTAGATACTATCTACAACCTGACTATTTGTTTGTTCATATTTATGGTTGTATACATTCTAAAATACTCCAAAAATAGCATAATACTTTTTTGTGTGGATATCCAATATGAAATATCGACTAAAAAAAAACCTTCTAAAGTAATAATCACCTATAACTTGATAAATGCTTTAATTAAATAACATTAACGAAAAATATTGAATTTGTATATACCTAATGTATAAGTAAACCCTAATAACAAGCATTTCAATTTTAAATGTTGATTATTGTTAGAAATAGATAATTAGTTCTTATCTTAATATTCAAGTATCAATAAAAATTAATTGGTTCAAAGCAATATTATTTTTAATTTATCAAAAACTAATGACAATATTATTGTTTTTAAATCAATTGTGTTCTGAGAAATTATGAGTAATCAAAGCATAAAAAAATATGTAATGTAAGCCACTTTTAAGTAATGTAGAACGATTGATAATATATAATATCGACGGCAGTTATGAAACGTAATACAAACATGGTTCATTTGCCTTACGATAAACAGTACTGTTGTCTTTGTAACAACAAAGTTTGTCAAACTGCGCTTTTTCCATCAAAAACAAGTATTATTCCATTATCCCTGCGAAAACTAAAAACCTTCAACAAGTTTTGCTATAAAAAGTAGTATGAAATGAAAAATCATAACTCTTATAGAACATACTACTTTTCTTTTAAAAGGACGATAATATTCGTTTTCGCCAGTAAGTACTTAATAAATTAACTACTGAAACTAATTTAATAGTGAACAAATTGTCAACATTCTTACAAAATTTTTAATTTTCTTTTAAAAATTAAGAAGTTCTGCATTGTAATCATTGGCTTTAGAATATACAGATGAACTTAGTAGAACAAGACACAGATTTCACTATCGCTTGTCTAAAATAGAATGAGGTAATTTTATTTGAGTGCGGGAATCATACGGCTAATATGAGATTCCAAAATCGTAAGTCATGTGTTTTTAAATTCCAAGTACTTATTGGATAATAGTTTAGATTGGCAACTCAAGTATTTTGATTTACCGATACCAGATAACAAAAAAACCACAGTGAAGCGGATTAAATTGGGGCTAAAATATTCCATAAAGTATAACTGTAAAAAACCAGCAGAATAAAGTTATGAACAAACCTGGATATGTTTTATTTAAGTAACAAATAATGAATAATTATTTAAAAAAATTAATTAATTCATCAAAATACATTTTTATAAACAGTTTCAAATAATTAAATAATTTCAAACTATTTACTTATATTTTTTATTATTTGTTACTGTGTTAAATAACTTGTTATTTAAATAAATCTATTAAAAGTAAAATTGAAAATGTACTGACATATAATTTTGTTATTTACTTAAATTGGTTCAAACAAAACTAATTTTCTTTTTTTAACATTAATTAATTAATTAATTTTTATTTAAGCTTTTTTAAAATATGCCCACATTTAGTTTGAAAGAAGGAATTAGGTATAATGTATGTTTGTGCCCATTTTTGCTAGAAGTACTAAACCGATTCTATTCTGATGAAATGAAAACTAAAATAATTTATGAAGTATCAGGATTGACCTTAGCTAGGTTTAATTATCATATAATTAAGTAAAATTCTACAATCTAAAAAAAAAAATTGATTTTGATTCAAAGAAACAACCTATTAAAAATGTATCGTTTGACTTTGACGACTATCGTAACGGCCAATTCCAGAGTATTTAGAGAGAATAGGTTAACCCTCAGGATTGTAATTCATTATTCTATTTTTTTCTAGTTTGTGATTATCAAATTTACTCTTAATTAGTCATCAAATTGTTTTCAAATTAAAAGTAAAACAACAGTATTAAATTTTTCATTAACACTTCTAATGTTGCTGGTGCGTTTATGTAGGCAATTTATATACATTTCTGTAAGGTATTATTTTGTTGGTAGTTTAAAGAAAAAATTTTGAAACTTCAAAAGGCTATTGAGGATAAACTCTTAAAAAATTAAACAATGTTGGAAATGTTACTTTGCACATAAAATAAATATATTATTTAACTAAAAAAATAAAATACTGTTTTTTTTTTTTTTTTAATTTGAGACACCTAATTTTTTATAGAATAAGTTATTAGAATATCATAATCAATGTTGCAGTAGTTGGCTAAAATTTGGATCTTCGGTTTAAAAACTGTATAAAATCTCTAAAATATTACACTATAAAATAAAATGTATATTTGTTATATAAATATCAACAAAATTGTGTTTGCTTTTTATTTTTTATTAAGTACAATATATATCAAAATAAATTTTAACAGTTTTTTGTAATAAACATATAGCTTATTTAGATAAGCTTTGGAGGTTTCGATGATCGTAGAATGATATTTTTGATGATAATCTAATGCTATTTTTATAGAAACGTCAACACTCACGTTGGGTCAAATACAATGATAGGATAAGATAACTTATTAGTATGACGACCAAAAGTCAACTAAAAGAAAGATAAACTCATTTAAATAGAATACATAGGACTAATAAAAATAAATGGCTTAAAAAGTTGATATAGTACACAAGAAATCAGTTAGGTTTTAATAAGGTGATCAGTTAAGGATTAAGTAAGACACTAAGTATCTGATACTTAGTAAGCAAGAGAGAAATTTATAACTAGGCATGAAGAAGGCACTCAACTTTTCAACATTCATTTTGATATTCTAATACATTATTCAGAAAAAAAATTTGGATTTTAACATTTTTTTCATTTTTAAAAAAAGTTAATACATGTACTGAAGTGTAAATCACATTACGATTTTGTAATGTAAATCACAGATGTGATATTATATTATTATAAATAGGATGTGGTATAATATACATTTTAAACCTCAATATAATTTACCAAATATAAATGAAAAAGATTGATTTTAACATAAGTAATTTTATTACTTTTTAAAGGTAGTATTATAATACTACCTATTATCTATTATAATACTACCTTTGAATTATTTCAAAAAATAATTTATCTAAAAATAATTTATGAAAAAAATCAGTCCAGCTTTCAAAAAAAGGTAGTACGTCCTGATGAAGAAAAACACTGTGCAAAACCAATACTATCTTGGCTTCCGAGTGATGCTAAAACAAAACTTTATCCCAAGCCTTAAGAATTAAAAATAGTAATTCCTTTTTCTTTTTTTAAATATTTATCCTTACTTTGTACATCTTTATAACAACTCTTAAAGTGTAAACAACTACGAAAATGTATGCATTAAATTATATTTACCTTTTCAGTTGTTCTATTCCAAATAACCACTTTGTGTCCAGAATTTAACAAATTTTTAACTATTCCTGCTCCCATAGTACCTATACCAATGAATCCAAATTTCAAATCCGATGGCAATATATTCTTGTTCATTAATGACCGGGAAACTGTGGTCACGTCTAATGGTGCACTTTCCTAAAAATTTAATAAATAAATACATTTTTATTTATAATGATAATAGCTATTAATTTAAAGGTCGGATACTAACCGGCTCTTGGATTGCAGGTCTGTCTAATAGTGAATGGTTTTTACGTAGTGGACTTATATTATTACTGGTCGTTAATCCCAGTTGAGTAGCAAAATAACCAGTGTTGAGACTGGAATTTAAACGTTCTTTCTTTGGTTTGCTTTTTGTACTATCTGAATCAAAAGACGAAGAATCATTCTGTGATTTACGTTTCTTAACAGAAGAATTTGATGTTGAGTTTCGTGCATTGGTAGACTAAAAACATAGAAAACGAATCAATTTTTAACTATTATAAGTAATATATATATAAGCAAATATAATACAACATATCTTGTGGATAATTAATAAATAACAGTATATTGTAAAAATAGCAACTTATACTGATGAATTAACCAAAAATAAGAATAATTTTTTAACCTGTTCAGTCTCATTCTGCCAGTAGGACAAATTTGTTTTTAAAATGTTTGTCAATCATTTAAAAAAGATAAAGCAGTCTAACTAACATCTACTATGTGTATTGGTATTTTCTCACAAAACTGTGATTATTCTTTAAAAACACAATAACCTTTTTAGATATAGTTAACCAAAAAACACATTTATTAAAGAAAAAAAACATTTTAGACATCATTCTAAACAAAAGCCAAGTTAAAATAAATAAAACACTAAAATATACTTAAACGAAAAATATTAATACTAATACTTACAATTCTCTTTTTTACAGGTTGACTTGGAGTATCACTTTTTATCAAATTTTCAAAATTAACTGATTCTGGTATACCATTATTCTTACCCTTAAAAAACAAATTATGTTTAGTTATCTAACAATTATTTAAATTATCATTCATTACACAACATATTACATTTGGAAAAAGACAAAATTTATTGCATGTGTAAAATATTTAAGAGTGCTAAAATAAAGTAATATTTTAAATAATCCCAACAAACATTCAAAAACCCTATGGATACAGCATACCAGTTACTTTTTTCTTCATTTAATTTTCTTAACACAAAAATTACATGAAATTAGAAAAAAAATTGTTTTTTAATTCATTTCTATTTTGTCTATTTTTTGGAAAGTATCAAGTGCTGTATTTTGTTATTATAGACATTTTGCAAGTGTTTTGCTAGATTTTTAAATGGAAAGGGCAAACTTTTACAACTTTCGGTATTAAAAAGTACCTTAGGTATGTCTTCTGATCTATAGATTGGCTACATGACGAAATCGGGAAAAATAGTAATTACATCATTGTAAAACCAATACATTCAAAGCTTCACATTGAAACTAAAAACAAAGGTTTTCAGAGTAAGAACAACACTGTTTTTAGTTTTTAAAATAATATAACGAACAGAACAATTAAACTAGTATACTCGAATGAGAAAAAACAAAATTATGTAAGTGGCAAGCCTGTTTTTAGAAAGAAAAAAAAATTGTTTTTTAACAATTTTCACAGAAAAATAAAACCCTACAATAAAGTTAATAATAATGACTCCTGGGTATGCATTGAATTGACTCTACAGAAAAAAAATTGTCAATTATTTGTACCTTAAACCTCCTTATCATATGAAGGTATCCACGGGTTTTATTAAAAATAAAAATAAAACAATTCTAGTTTAACATATTTTATAACTTATAAGCGTCTTTTAATTGTTCTATCTTTAATTGAATGATGTTTAATAATAATTATATTTTTATTCTTACATCTTTTGTATCTTGAATATATTGTTCAATGGCTTTACAAGCTTCTTTGAAGGTCGGCGTTTTGCAACTTATGGTAAGAGATTCTTTAAATTCATAATATGGTTTCAAACAACCAATTTCAATCCATGCGCTATAAAAACAATGAACATTTTTAAATTACACGAGTTTTGTTTGATCAAAATAAAATAACCGCATAATCGAGTTTTGGAAACTTACAAATTTTTACTTCCAAAGAAAAATATGCATTTAGAATTTTTTTTAGCTATTTTTTTTAACGCATCAGTTGGTTCACTCACCTAAACAAAACAACAAACCTGTTATTTCTAATATACAAAATCATTATCAAACTATTGATTCACATGTTATTTTACAAAATTATTTCCTATAAATACTTAATCCGATAAATAACAAAGATGTATTGAATCCAACAAATACTAGAAATCATCATATCAAAATATCCGACATTGTTTTTATTTTAATAAGTTAAAATTTATCAATTATAAATAATATCAAATGTAAACACCTTTCTATAATTATTCTTAAGTTAATTTCGCAAAGTCCACTTAAGTAGAATAGTTCTGAACTTCTAACAATAGGTGTTTTATGAAGAATGATAATAACGTAGATATTAAATACCTACATAATTAAAAAAAAAAAATAATATCAATATACGAAAATTGGACGAAATAGGAAAATGCGGTTAATATCAAGATCGTATCTACTCTTGTAGGACAACAATCATAAACAGTTAATTTAATCAATAAAATAATATTAAAAATGGGTTTTTTGTTTCCCATTCACAGTATTTTTGACTAACAATATTGTTGTTATGCAACACATTTAAACTTGCACACTTGGACGTTTAAGACTAAATTTTGTATTGCCTTAATTATAATATGATTAAAAATGAATTATATCAATGTAATAATAACATAATAATAAATATCGAAAACTACAATATTGGCAAATCGTTTTCTAGATTTGACGGTGATTTGTCCAGGCCATGGATACAATTTCTATGTATGTAGAATGGATACTTACACGACCGGGCCACGGCGGGAAACCTTTCATTTTGGCCCTGTAAACAAACATGATACGACGTTAACAATCGCGGTCTTTTCATATATCGTTACACTTCCAAAAGCGATTACAAGCAAAGTACATGACCATAATTGCGTCAAATAAAATCAACTCACCATACTAAATCATTGACATCGTATTTCCATTCAGTCGACATGTTTGCGATGTTACGAGACCCGAGTGAAGCGAAATAAATTCAAAATAGTTTTTACTACAAACGAAAATGGTGTTTGCTACAGGAGGCGAAAATAATGGCGGCTGCGGCGTGTCCGTGTTGTTGTGGCGCGACGGGGAAGAGGGAACGCTTAACGAATATATCCCTTCTCCGTATCCAACGGAAGACGTTATCGCCGCCGACAGTGCTGGCAACGTACCGGACGCGCACAGTCGTACGACCGTTTCTGTTTACACAATACAATATCGTTGTTTACAATCTCCCGCCATTAATATTGCAGTTAACACTTGTGAAATGTGATTGGAGATTAGTGATTACCCTGCAAGCGGCAAACGGCCGTAGCCGTTATAATGGTTATTATTTTTTATAGTTGGTATAACGATTCATGAACATAATATTGGCTGGGGGATAACACAGCTACCACGAATGTTGCCGTGCTACGATGTGATGTCACTTCGACATTTTTGCTGCGGCCTACGAATGACAATTGCTTCTACGACAATTGACGCGAATACATTTACTTCGAAATTTTGTTGTCGCTACTTTTTTTTTTATGCCACGATAATATTATACAGTTACATCGAAGTTTCATTTTTAAGAGGGCGTCGCACCGCCCATTTTTAAGGAGTAAAGTATAGACAATTTTTTACAATATCTTAATTTAAAGATCAAATTGTGTAATTCTTAATTCAATAACTAGGACTCTATTTTGGTAGTTAATTTATTTTCTGGACTATCACAGCATCCTTGAAAGCGATTTGAAAAATGTTTTTTCATCTCTACATGTTTAAGCAGACTAAAAATAACTCGCTAAATTTTGCTTTTAGAGTAAAAGCACCCATTATAAAATTAAAAGAGAACAATATTCCGGAGGGCAAGACGTGCGTTTTTTAATTATTCTAAATATAACGCTCAATACATAGTTTAGAAATAACGACTATTTTAACATTTTTAAATGACTGTAACTTTTTGAAAAATGAATTTTTTTAAAAAAACGCACCGTCTTGCCCACCGGAATATTGTTCTCTTTTACTCTAAAATCAAAATTAAGCGAGTTATTTTCAGTCTGCTTTAACATGTTTTTACCACTGAAAATCACCGGTGCGACGCCCTCTTATTATTAAAAAAAAATAATAATAAATTAATTATAACTACGAATTATCGAAAAAGTCGATCATCAATTAGTGTTTGTCTAAGTCTATGCGTTTTATGCATTTCAAAAATTATACTATTTTATGTACATTTTTTTCTTCGGGGCTTATTACCTAGATGTTGAATCTGTAACAGCTATCAATTGCATTAACAACTGTTAAGAGCCACCTAAATGAAATGTATTTCTTATTAACAAAATAAAACTATGTAATAAACATGTTGCATTTCTGCTACAATGAGCACTGAAGGGCTAACAACCGGTATTTTAAAAACCACTTAGAAAAAACATAAAAAAACGTTAATTTAAATGATGTGTTTCTATTTATATCTTTGGTCTAACCCACTGCCTAAGTTAAACAATAATGTGTGTTTTTTGATAACTTTTTAACTCTAGTTTTAACTGAATTTCATAAATTCATTGTTTACAGAGAATAATATTGAAAAAGCTAATGCCTCCTCTGTAAATGTTGAGGAAAATGTATAATGTATTTTTAAGAGTTTGAAACATGGCGAAAAAAAGTAAACAATTCCTCTTTTATTCTTATAAATATTCTTAGGCATGTCTTTTTGGGAAAATGCAAGATAATATCTCTAATTTTTTGCTCTTAAATAGGAAGAATTTTTATATATTACACTTAATAATTTGGGAGTTGAGTTGAATAATTTGATCGAAAGACAATATTGAAAGTTATACAAATATTTCAATAATGTGTACTTTTTTTTTAAAATGAAGAAAAATTATTATTATTGTAAGCTCTGAACTCGTGAAAAAGCTCGTTTAAACATGTTGTTGGAATGTTGGGTAACAACAGAAAGCACTATTAATGATCACATTTTGTTTTCATAACTCCGGTTGCAAACTTCCACTGTTGTTATGCTTTTTTCAAGTAAAATTATAAATGAAAAATAGTTAATTTCTCGAAAGTTCAACTTTTTGGACTAAATAATCCTTCTCATAAATAATCGGTTCACGTTCGATGAACACTTGTTAATCAAACGGTTTGTTTTGTGGTCTGACAATAATGAATTCAAAGATAAAAAAAAAAAGACTTGGAAAATTCTAGTGGTTATTTATCTAAGTATTTAAATAATAGAGGGAATATTATAACTGTATATGGCTTCTTTCGATTTTCAGTTTTTTTAATATAAATAACGACGTTCTATAAAGTAAGGAGAATTATTATTGCGTATGTATGTAGTCATACGATATACATTAAACATAAATACAACTCTTCTTCTGTAACCTGCTCTCCAGATAAAAAAATATCTACTCTTATGATTTCAGCTCTTCAATTATTTCTCAAGTATAAGTTGTTAAAAAAAATAATCTAAACTTTAATTAGAAAGTAATTTGTAAAAATCATTAAGTCAAAAGGGTTCGGAACGTGCCAAAAAACGGGTAACACCCTCCAAAAAAATGAAAAATGTTTGTAAGCCTTTAGACAGACACTAAGAAAACATTTAAATCGTTTCTACTATTTAAAATTGATTGAAAGTTAAATTGTTTTATGATGTTCTGTGTATAAAACGTAGTAAAAAAAAACAATATTATTTATTTTAAGGCCTACACTATTTGGAAAATTAACAAAAACCTTTTTTTATTTATAATACTAACTGTTACAAAAAATGAGCAATAAATGATTAAAGACCCATAGAACCAACAACTCTATATGATAATGGATCATGTTCTGTTACAAGAAATAATTAAATTTATTGAAATTAGATATTTCATAATAAAAAAACCCACACACATACATTAAAAGTAAATTAATTTAAATCAAATTTATTAGTAAAACACTGACATTCAGTTTATTTTATAATTTACTTTTATATCTATACTTAAAAGTAAAACACAACACATGAACAATTAATTGGGGGACTTAACATGTTTACGGTTATACTTTTTTTTAGAGAAAACGATAAAATATAAAGAATTAACATATAGGTCTATGATTAAAAATATTATGATCTTTATTAAAAAGTATTTGAAGTGTTTTCGAATTAACAATTATTGATATATTATATTATATATAATTTAGTATAAATATAGTTTTATGTTCAACATAATATGCAAAAAACTAAAAATGTTTTGTGAATATAATAAATCACAAATTTTAGAATTTTTTTAAGTTATAAAACTAAAACATTTATAAAAAAAAAATAAAAAATTTCAAAAATTTACACTTGGTACATATAACTGTATAAATTGTTCAACGGTTAATTTATAAATATAATAAATTTAATATCTATTTTTAACAGACATATTTTAATAGTGTTTTAGTTTTAATTTACATTAACTTGCCAATAATGAATTCTCATGAAATTTGTATGTTTTAACCGGCAATAAATTACTTTAAAAAACGATGAGTTTTTTTTTCTGATCTTCTTTGTAATCTGCAATGGATAATGATGTGTGACGAGATTCAGAACCACTGTCTACTGAACGGGCATCGGTATAATGCAATACTACATCACCGGGGACATCTTTAAAACTTTCCTGAAGTATAAATTATAAACATCCAAGTTTTAAAACCATTTGTAAGAATGTTAACAAATACAAATATTAATTTAGTTAATAGATGTATGACTTTAGTTAATATATTGGGTAAATGATTTTATTTATCATTTGTGTACTCCCAATCCGAACAAAGTAAATAATTATACAGATGAAATTTTTGTTTTACCTCATTCATAGGATTTTCATAATCATGTCGACCAGGTTCGAGTTGGGTGTGTTGAATATTTACTCCTCTAGTATCTATTTCGTTTACTGTCGACAATGGATTATGGAAATGAAATCTATCAAATAAAAACACATTTTAAACACACTTTTTCGGTTTTACTATAGTAAAAATAAAAATGTACCTAGGAATTGAAATAAATGGCTTCGTTCTGTAATGGTAAATATAATAATAAAATATGCCCAGTCCAACTAATAACGATATAAGTAACGCAGCGTACAGTGAAACATTACTGCCTTTTCCTATGTTTGCAAACGTTGGTGATTTTCTATGGCCAGCATCCTAAAAAAAAAAAAATAATAATAATAATATATTTATAGATAAGATTATTTTAATAGGCAGATAATTAAATTCAAGCATTACTTCACAGCTTGCATATGGTTCAACTTGGGACCCATCTGGACAAACGCACATTGGATGTTTATGAGCAGAAACGCAGATGAAATCACATTTAACATGGTTGCACATATTCGTTTCTAAATAATAAAGGTATACATAAAACCAAAGTCTGATATGAACAAAATCAAACATTCTAACGTTAATAATTTATCATTAAGTCTAATACTAAATAAAATTTGTTGATTGGGCGTAGACCTAAGTATTAAAATTATCCGGGCATGGCAAGGCAATAACATCAATTATATTACGCAATATCACAAAAAAATGACTGAATTAAGCTAGTGATCTGAAGTTTTACAATTGTTTTATTTAAATAGGTTTCTATCAATTTGGGAGGAAGGAAAATAAAAAAAATACATTTTTCAGACATGGTCATACATATATAAATATAAGTGTGTATAGAGTAAGTCTATGTAATTTTGAATTAGAATGTCTGTTTAAGTGTTTTGTATTACTATGCAGGTTTTTGAGCCAATTGTTACTTAAATTAGTTAAATCTGTTAATAAAATATGTACCGTTTATTTGCTTGGACGCATGACTAATCATGAATATGCCAATAGGTTCATGCACTTGAACGGGTACCGTATCACATTCTACATTTGTTGTAGCAAAGATTTTACATTTGTATATCGAATATCCCGTCGCATCACTGGTCCAATACAGTTTATCTTCGAACAACGACAACGATCTTGGTCCACCATTCTGAAATATAGACGATAAAATTAGAAGATTAATTAATATCAATGATATGGTCAAACAATGTTAATCTAATAAGAAAAAGCTCAAAGCTGTATTTACACGTGCATGATAAACGATTTTTCCATCATTTCCATCATAGTTAGCACTGTGAATGGATTGAACAGGCATATCAACCCAATATATCTTTTGTTGAATCGAGTCTAAGGTTATATCAGTTATTTCGAGCAATCCCTTTTCGACCACTGTCTTAATGTTGTTTCCACTACAGTCGGACCGTTTGATAACTGAACTTGGAGAATTCCACATAAACCATTTACATTCGGCCCAAAACATGTATCTGTAAAATATGTCAAGTCGTTTAACGTAATGAGTGGTTTTAAAGTGATTTGAATAAAAAAGAAAATGCCTTTACCCAGTCAGCGGGTCTATAGCAAGAGCACTGATTCGCCAATGGACATTGGCACTATAAATGATTGCACAACGTTTTGAGTTCAAATTGCAAATGACAATGTCATGGAAGTTCTCTACGAAATATACATTTTCTGTTATCCAATCAACACGTACTAACGACGGATGAACCAAATCTTTCATGTACACCTTATGTTCTGCTTTCATATTCATAGCTACCAAAATACCGGCCTCGTCTAAAAATTACAATAGTTCAAACATGATTAGATCACACTACTAAATCGATGTAGAAAATTATTAATTAATTTTACACAAGATTGATAATCAATTACAATTACAAAATTACCTGAAGTCCAATAGATTAACTGTTTCCTCGTATCGATATCGAGACCGGAAATTTTAACTCCGGGACTTTCAAAAAGCTGTTCGATTTCCTTCAAATCCCCAGACACACTTCTAACCTCGTTCCCAACTGAGTACACTAAATCCATACTTGGTCCTACACAAAAGTAAAATTCAACTAAATATTTATAATAATATTATGTTATCCATGAAAAATGAGAGAAAACAGAATGAGACAATTTGAGCATGTCGAAAGAAAGGGCGAAAGTAAAATATTTAAACAAGTTAGAAAGATAACCGTAGTGGGGTTTAAATATAAAGATAAACGGTAGAAATGGGTGGGTGTGATAAATAAAATCATGGAGGTGTAAGGAGATTTGTGGAGATATTTGGCTGGTCTCATTTACATGGGATAAGGCTAAGAAAAAGAAAGTATCAAGTCGACCATTTGTACAATTATTATTAATAAAACATAATTGTATTCAGACATACCTAGGGCTTTGCATGAACGTTTGTCTGGTCGTAACATAAAGTCTGTGTTTAAGCAAGAACACTCGTAAGACCCATCGGAATTGGTACAAAACTGTGCACACGTATTCCTATTTTCACATTCATTGATGTCTTTACAACTTACGCCATCGGATGAAAGCTTATAACCGTATTGACACACGCATTGTCCGCCTTTAGGTGTCTCCAGACATTTGTGAGTACAGTTACTATTTTGGCAAGCCATACCTGTTATATAAACAAATCTGTAGTAATTTACGACTGACCAAAAATTAGAAAAATAAAAGCATTATTGCTTATGGTATATTATTCTTACCACATAGTGATCCTTCGTCACTGCCGTCTTTGCAATCGATTTTTTTATCACAAGCTCGGTAAAATGGAATACATTCTCTACTTTTACATAAATAACCTTCACAACCTTCTTCATATATAGCAGTACGGTGCACGGATAGTTCACAGGCTTTAGCAGTTTCGTCCGATTGGTCGCCACAATCATCAAATTTATCACACATCCATGCCTTAGATATACAACGTTTATTGTCACATTCAAAAGAATCTTCTGTTTGGCATCCACAGTTTAATTCATCTTCAAACTTCTTACATTCAGAAGTACCATTACACCTAGATTCGATTGGAACACACCGTCCATGTATGTTATCACATTCGAACTCGTACTTTTCATTACAATGTTTTGTTGGTTTTGACTTGGAATTGCCAATATACACTGGAGGACATCCATCTTCATCTGAATTATCATCACAGTCGTCTTCGCCATTGCATGTAAATTTATGTGATATGCATCGACCATTGCTGCACCTATACTGGTCAGCTTTACATTTCTTTAGGTCTATAATTTATAGACAGAACGTAATGTTAAGAAATTTGTATAAATAATACTTTTACTACTATAAAAAATGTAATGTAATTAAAAAAAAAAAATGTATTTCCTATCACTTAGAATCATTAGATGACACGTTTTAATCCCAATATTGTAATTCATTCCCATAAAAAGGCGGACCAAATGTTTTATTGGCTTGACCAAATAATCTCATGAATGAATAGATACAAGTTAACTTTTGAAAACCTTTAATTTTGGGTGACTTCTTGGTTTTGGAAGGTGGTGTTAATGTTAGATGCAAAAAAAGGAGCATTAGACTAGAAAGCGATACCTCGTGTTATCGTTACGTTCAAAAAGATAGTTTATTGTTAAGTTATTATTTTTTTTTTCTTCAAAATAAGACTCGATGGAGAGCGCTTTCTTACTAAAATACATTTTTTCTGAAATTACATTCACTTTGTATATTATAATCATTAACGTACGACAAGTGCTATGTTCGTCAGAACCGTCAGCACAATCGGGTTGTCCGTCGCATTCCCATCCAGCAGAGATGCACGTCCCGGATTTACACCTAAATTCCATATGGTGACAAGTGCGGCTCTCGCAGTTGAATTCGTCCTCGCCATTGCCGCAATCCGGATGTCCATCACATAGAAAACCTAGTGGAATACATTGCCCGGTAGAGCAATGGAATTCCGACTCTAAAATCACAATATTATATCGAAAATGATTATTGTTGTTACCGAGGTTTAGTGAAAATTACCTGGATCGCATTTATGTTTTAGGCCACATTCTTCTTCGTCGGACCCGTCAGCACAGTCCTTGACTTTATTGCACAACAACTTCTTATCTAAACACTTGGAGCGATCGTGACACAAGAATTGGGTTTTCGGACACATGTTAGGAGTGAAATGCTGACACATTACGACATCTTCATCGTCCCCGTGTGGACAACTCACAATACCATCGCATCTGAATCTAGACAAAATGCATTCACCGGTGGAGCAACGGAATTCATCAACGGAACACTGCTTTAAAGCAGTACAGTTCTGTCCATTTTCTGAAAGGAACATTCCCAATGGACAGCCACAAGTCTATATCAAAACAATTCCATTCTGATATAATTCATTATGCATAGTAGTTTTAATAGTTCATTAAAAAATGTATTTACCTTTCCTTTACCAGATACTAAGCACACATGACTACATCCACCGTTATTTTTTTGACACGGGTGTTGAATATTTTTGTCGGTACCCTTCATAGCGGCTAAACACAACTTTGAATCCAGTTTCCAATTGTCTACATCTAAAAAAAAAAATACAGATTAGAGATTAGATTAAAATATTTTTTATTTTAACGTTTTACATGCCTATTTCAAACATGCGAGATGACTGTTCACCGTCATTCTTATCCATCCAGTAGAGATGCTTCAAGCCTCTCGACACCCAGAATAACTCATCGCCCAACGTAACTAGATCGTAAACGGATCCAGCATTCTTGATTATTCTTCTGTCCAATCCTTAAATACAACATATGAATAAATTTATTAATGCATTAATTATGTTATTTAAACTAAACAATTGAGTGTAACAATTAGAGCTATGAACTAGCCAGGTTCATTTACACTGTCTCGTGGTCCTAAGTTAACAAATACTTACCATCTTGGTTGACGCTTTCAATTATTCCATTTCTAAAATCGGTAAAATACAGTCGTCTTGCGGTCATGTCGAAATGAAGAACCATTTCTTCTCCCATCAACCCCATTTCCACAATGTGTTCGTGCGACTTTACGTATCCATCCATATGAATTCGATCAATGTGTAAATGCGATTCGGATTTCATGGCCACAAACATGTAACTTTAAACACACATTAATGTAGCAACATATGTAAAAACTATAACTATAAGCACGCGTAAATATTATACGTTACCCTTGATCTGGAACTAAAGCGACGGCAATGGGGATATACCCGTCAACTTCGCTCAAAAGAACCGTCCGGGTTTTAGTAGTGAGACTCAGTACGTCTAATGTACCTCTTCCCCAATCACACCAGTATAAGTTGTTGCCATAGTTGTCAAACTTCAACGAATGTATCACACCGAGTTCCGATGTTACAAGATCTAATAATTTCATCTTAAATACATCGTACATTGATATTTTCTTGGACTTGGAATCGTATATAATGATGGCCCCTTGAATTCACATTTATTACAAATAATATAAAGGATAATGTACATGTTTAACTTTGATTAGTCAATATTATTAAAATACCCGTTAATGAGTTGTACGTGATGGCGGATATTCTGGGAATTTTGTTTTTCAGCGGTATTTCAATTGTCTTTTGCCGACCTAAATGTTCGTGTTCAACTTGTAAAAGACCCGTTGACGTGCCGACAATTAACGTGGCAGGAAAGCCCATATCTATACAGAAACGTCCATCAGAAGCTAGCAATTTGTCATCAGGACATGCGCACGTGTACCCTTTGTGATTGCCGTTCTTCTTCGGCGCCAATAAACAGATATCACTGCATTTTGCATCGGTGCAAGGGTTGTGTGCCTAAGAAAAAAAGAAAAAAAATTATTCTAGTTGTAATACGTTGGGGGCATGGTATGGTGTAATACATTAGCTTTAAACAACGATGGGTGGTAAATTTGCATTCCATAAATTCTGGTCTTGGCTTCACGCACGACACTCCGACAATCTCTACCGGTAAATTTATTGCAAACTTTGATTTCTTTTCCCGACCAGTCACTCCAGTACAGTTTGTCTTCAAAAACAATGACCGAAAAAGGATGGTCCACGGATTCGGTCACGACAGTCTTACAATTAAAATACCAAAAATATAATATACATTTTATACTCGTACCAATTTAAATCAGTCTTGCGGCTGTCGGTAATATTTACCCTTCGGTCAGTCGCATCTAGTTTAATAGATTCGATTATTTGCATTTTAGCGTCCACCCAATAAATTCTCTTTCCCAAATAATCGACATGAATGCCGTTCGGCCAGTGTATATCATGAGTTACAAATGGTGCTGGCTGAGAACCATCCATACCGGAACGTGCAATCATTGGTTTTTCTCCCCAATCAGACCAATACATGTAACTGGAAAAGAGATAAACACAAAATATATGGATACTATAAAAAATAAATGATAAGATGGAAGTACAAATGTATAAGGACTCCTAACTTAGGAGTTAAACCAAATCAACGAACAAATTAGAAATAAATGGTTTAAAAAATAGAACTTGGAGAATAATGTGTGATAATTTATGTAAAATAATGGATGAATTTAAGTGCGATGGTTTGTAGATTATTGAATAGAAAGATTAAAAATTAAGATGTGATCGAAAAATGTTGATTTATATTTTTTAATTATTTTATTTCTACTGCTTATTTTAGTGTCGGTCCGCGGTCGTAGGGGATCCCTTCGTGGCGAACCACTAAAGCCGAGGAACACCTGCTTATTTTAGTGGTTAATATGGACGAGGCGAAGAAGACATGAATAAATACTGTCAAGAAAAAGTTAATGTATTACCCATCAGATGGTGACACTGCAATGGCTCGTGGCTTGTCTATGTCTTTATTATGAAGAACTGTGCATGTCGTTCCATCACTGCTGCAAACGCCAATGTGTTTCTTTTTGGCATCGGTGAAGTACAAATTGTGCGTCATGCTGTCTATGGCAAGATTTTCGGGTGTTCCCAATCCTATAGATTTAACATAAAAACACATTGTGTTAGTGATTAACTCTAAGTTTGATCGAAAAACAAAATATTCTAGAAAGTATACCCGAGGTGACGATTATTTCGGGCCTTCTATCTTCATTTTTATTAGATCTGACTAAAGCTTGTGATCCATCGTAAATAATAGTCCAATAAAGATTTTCCCCGTCTACGGCGACTCCGGTTGCATGTTGCAATTTGTCTACAAGCACAATATTTTTATTTGTCGCTAAATTCAACGATTTAATCTGTCGCAGCGACGAATACACTAAAACTGGTTCTTCGCCTATGTGAAAATATTAAATTATCATTTGTATCAATACATCAAACACATTTGAAAACGTTACAATATTTTACAAAGTTTACCTCTAATTTTACATGTATGGTTGTCCTTAAGTTCATAATCTGGATCACAAGTGCATACGTTAGTGCCGTATGAATTTAAGCAGTATTGATCACACATGCCAAATTCTTCACATTCGTTAATATCTATATCAAAATAAAAACAAGAATAAGTATTTATAGTCTTCAATTTGTGTTTTGACAATTAAATAAGAGACGATATTGTGTGCAAAGCAGTTAAATAGGGAAAGACGAAGCATCAGAAAAATATAGTAAATGGAGGAACTGAAGAGTGGCGAGTAGAATAAAATGAGGAGGAAAGAGGCAACGATGGTGTTTTAGCTGATGGCCGATAGCTGAAAGACGCTATCTAAAGTGAAAGGAAAATATTACAAAACTAGCCAAGTATATAGGTTTATATAAAAAATATTTGGCTGGACGTCGACATTTTCATAGGATTAGGCGAAGAAGAGAATAATATTCACAATTACCTATGCAAGTGCCATTTATAGAATTGGTTCCTTTTGGGCAAACGCACATTACGCCGTGTGGTTTTCTTAAGCATTCATAAACACCGGAACAATTGGCCTCTTTACAATCTTTTTCTAATGCTAAAAAATCAAAAAATCAGTAAATTTTAGATCGTTATGTTGGTGATTTTATATTGATTGTAAATTGAATTTTAGAAGGTAATTTTTTAGCCTAGATACGGAGCTTCGAAATTAATTTTTATTTGTTATTTAAAAAAAATTTAATTATAAAGTTTTTAGTTTTAGCTTCGATGCGGAGATGAGAAGGTGATTGTGTTTACAATGATGTGTTTTTTTATTTTTGGGTTAGTACCCACGATATCTTCTAAGATACTGAACCGATATTTTTGTGTAGCAACTCTATAGATCAGAAATCATACCTGTAGGGTACTGTATCGGACCAACAATTTCATCCCTTCCCCTTCAAAATGTAGAAAACACCAACAAATTGTACATTTAGCACAAAATTGTCATTGAAGTGTTAATTTAAAGTGATTTTATCACTTTCAGTTATAATAATTCCTGTAGACCTGTGACCTCTCGGTCCCCACTATGCCCCAACCCTACTGTACTGGCTTTTTTTGTTAAAATATGTGTACGCAAACCTAATATTGTTGTTTGCAGCATCTATTAAGATAAATAATTTGTTTATGTCTATAAAATGAAACACTATAGTCTTTGGATGTTACCTAATGTGAAACACGATTGTAAAGGTAGGTAACATTAATAATAAGATAATGTGTTTTAAAATATACTGATATATAAGTTAAATAAGAAAATGTGTATATTTAATCAATAGTTTTTTTAAATGGTAAGCCAGTACCAATGGTGTTATTGCATATTCCTCCTTCGTCCGATTCATCCAAACAATCACTTGCGCCATTACAGACATTATCCACATTAAGACATTTTTTTCGGTCGTGACATAAAAAATTCCTATTGGCTTGCAAACACTGATCGGGATCGATAATTCTTAATTCTGTAAAAAAAAAGTATGGAAAATATTCAATTAAAAACAATACAATTTTTTTTTTTATATTAATGTTTACCGCAATCAATTTCGTCTGAACCGTCTCCACAGTCATCTTTTTTGTCACATCGCCAAAAGTTCGACACGCAGTGTAAATTTTTACATAAAAATCCTTCCGTGCACAAAACCTATAAAATAAAAAAATTAAATTATGTAGTTGACATTCATACACAATTTAACTTGTTGTGTTTTACTTTTTCTCTGCATTTTTCCATGTCTTCGTCACTACCATCGTCACAGTCCACGTGTCCATCACAATGCCAAACCGAAGGAATACAAGCGCCATTTGAGCATTTAAACTCTCCGGACGTGCACGGTTTTGTAGGAGCTCTCTTTAAATATACACACAATTAGTTATACTATAAAGCCGTCATAGTCGTATTGCATAAGAAAAGCGAGATAAGTCAAAAAGATGACATAACTATTGAGGGAAAGAGTTGTTGAACTTTCTGCACACCAAGTGTTTCTGAAAATCTTACTGGAATGGCTACAATTGTTATTTGTTATTTAAATAAAACGCGTTAGTCCGAGTAAATAAACAAATTTTTCAAAACTGATTTTTTTATTATTATGAAATTTTGCGTTTACAACTTATTTCGAAAAATTTTTATATATACAGAGAGCTCAAGAACGTATTTACAAGAGAAACAAAAACAAAAAATAATAAGTAATAGATTAATTAAATTGCAAAGCCAGCCTCAAAAATAAAAGAAATGACATAATTAATTATAAAAACATTTGTGGTAGAAAGTATGGAATTTAAGGTTGCAGGAATATTATGAATGTGTAAGAAACGGAAAAAGAAGGAGCGTCTACAGATGAGAGCAGGACACTCAAACAAAATATGAGTGAGATTACAAATGGCTTCTTCGGTATGAAGAGTACAGTGAGGAGAATCATTTAGGGATAATTTTTAAGCATGAGCAGGTAAAAAAGGGAATGGCCGAACCTTAATCGACAGAAATGAACAATCGCACTTCTAGGCAAAGTGAGATTGGTGAACCATGGCTCGCGAGGAATGTTGGGAACAATAGCTTTATGTTTATTGGCAAAGTTGGGAGGTAAAGTGGACCAGAGAAGAGACCAAAGAGAAATAAAGTGCTTACGTAGGAACGGAATGAAATCGGACCAAGGGAGTTTGGATAGGGATGGGGATATTAAAGATGCAGTGGATTTTGCTAATTGGTCAGCAAATTCATTACCTTGGATGCCACAGTGCCCAGGTATCCAAGTAAGCTGAATATCATAATTAGCGCAATGTAAGAGGAAGAGAACCTTTTTAATTTTGAAAATTAAGGGGGAGATGTGAGATTTAAAAGGATTGAATTTTAATGCAAGAAGACAAGACATAGAATCAGTGGCTATTAAAAATTGACCAGGAGGGAGAGTAGAAATTAAGTTAAGAGATTCAAAAATGGCATAACACTCAGAAGTAAAAGAGAAAGACGAAGGAGGAAGATTATTAGAAAAAGAAATATGCAATTCAGGAATGAAGAAAGAAAACCCTGCAGAAAGAGGAGTAATAGAACCGTCTGTATAGACGACTGTGTGATTGCTGAAGCTATCGTTAACAAGGTTCATAAATAGGGAATTAACATCAGAGGAAGACATTGATTTTAAAACATGAGTAAGAAAAAATAAAGGATAATTGTCAACATGAACGTTGGCTTCAAACAGAATGGATTCGTAGGAGGTTTCATAAATAGGAAGGATAGGTGAATGGGAAATAAAAAATCTGAAATTTGACAAGGAGTGTGCGACAATCGAAAGGACGGGAAGAGATTTGGAGGTGTACCACCATATAGAGTGTAGAGGGAGAAAAGTATTGAAAATAGAAGAGTTATGTGATAGCAAGAGCTTTGAGTAAAAACTTGCCGGCAAGCCACCGACACCTTCGTTGAAGGGAGGGCAGGAGCTTTCCTATTCAATAGCAGGAGAAGGAGTTACTCTTAAGGCTCCGATGATGGTCCTCAGGCAGGAAATCTGTAATTTATTTAATTTGATCCAAATTCAAAACTGATTATCCGCTAGTAAAAATGTTTAGTAAATTATTCATAGTTGAAAATTTAGTTAAATTGTCTACGTACCAAAAAACTAAATTACGCTTTGAAAACTACCTATTTAAATAGGTACTTAGTACTTAGCTAGGACTAGGACAATTGTTTATGTACAATGTAGAAATTAAAAAAGAAAAAAAAGTTTACTTACATTATGACAATGAGCCTCGTCTGAATCGTCCCCGCAATCGTTTTCTTTGTCACAAACAAATAAACTGGATATACATTTGTTATTTGCACATTTGTAGTAATCGGGTGCTAAACATTTGATCGATTCTGAAGCAAAAGTTACAAACAAATGTAGTCAACATAGATAATTTACAGGTACAAATATACAAATGTATATTTATTAAATTTGCATACCGCAGTTCGACTCGTCTGCGCCGTCAGGACAATCAGAAACCCCATCACACCTTTTTGAACTACTTATACATTTTTCTGAACAATAAAATTCGGTTGGGGCGCATAACTGTGTTTCAGAATTTACATCTAAAAAAAAAAGTTTTGACGTTATTAATTTGTGTCGCATTCAACTGGGACTAGTTTTTTTCAGCATTACAAGTATATCGTAATTCGTACATAATGTATTTATGTTTAATGTGTTTTATGGAGCTAGACAATATAACGACAACTCCAGACAATTTTACTCCTATAGGCAAAATCGAGCAAACTCATGTTACCCAATTAAGCTTAATAAACAAGTTTTTTAAATTATAGGCACGGCAAATCGAAATTTGATAGACTTTGTTTCAGTTTAGCACCGCTCAAATCAAAAAAATTAAAAATTAAACAGGTTCAAAAGTTTTGGTGACAAAATAATTAGGTGGTAACTATGATAAATAATGCTAATAGATACACAATATAAGTCATAGCATGATAAAGTTTATGTTATGCAGAAATACCACATTTTCAAAGGTTTTGATGATAATGTTGCAATACTGTGATTTCATTTTTGTCTATACATAGGTATACCGTGACTTTTATTTCTACAGGACCGATTTACTCCATCAGCAATTCAAAGATCAAAAAATAGTATCTAATTGGTAATACAAAGGAGTAAAAGTGGAAAAAGTTTACTCTTGCAGTCTTCTCCCATAGAGGGAAACCCCTATATAAAATTACTAATTTTTACTTTCGACTTTAAAGTACTATTTTTTAGACTTAAACTGAATATCGTCAGTTAACTAACATTTTTAGTTGGACGGTGGATCGATTTTAAAGAGTACCTGGTATATAAATTGATCTGAGAGAAAAACAATCTAGTTTTTTGAATTTCAACTTAAGTATATAAGTACTGTATTTTTGTGTTAAAAAAAATTACTAGTCGCAATAAGTTTGCCCGTATACTATATAAATTAGAAATATATAGGAGTTCAAAAAATTCATATTTACAGTACATTTTTCTATGAAATAATTGTGTTTCTTAAAAAATCTTTATCATATTAAATAAAGTATACGTAGTTAGTAATATTAATTTATAATATCAAGTTTATAGTTTCTTTGGCTTTTAAGAAGCTTTTATAGTTGTTTTATTTGGTTGTTATGATAGACAAGTTGATTATGGACAAAAATGAAGTTATTATGTTCTTTCGTATGACGGTAGTTAAGTTTTAGAGTGTTTAAAAAGGCAACATAAAAAGTCAAATAGCAATCTACATATTTTGTTTATCTATAAAAGTAAAATCACCTAATGAAAATAATGCCGTATCGATACTCAAAAAACGTTTTTGAATGAATATTTTTTAAGTTATTAGCAATTTGGGAATGGCGTGGCTATTATTTATTTTGTATTTGAGCTTTGGTTGAACCTAGGCAACCGCAAAAACTTAATATACATATGTAAATATGTATAAGAAACAATCATAATACAATGGCATAGAATTGAAGGACAATAAATTAAGTCAAACAAATGGTCACATAGTCATTATCTAAAAATGAATGAGTCCGTCGTACATACACATAGTGATCGAAATACCAAAGATATAGCGAGAAAATACGAGACATGCATATATATATATATCACAATAAAACACAAATTATTACCGAATGCAGAAAATACACAAACCAAAAATCCAAATTTAACATGACGGAACACCAAGCCCTTGCCACTATCAAAAAGATTATAAACCATAATCCATATATGTATAAATAATATGTATATTAAAAATTACGTAACCTAAATGAGTTAAAGTTATACGGTGCCACAAACTATATTCTAATCTAGATTGTTTATGAATAGAGTTATATGGCACCGCTATTTGTTATTGGCTTACACTGAGTTATTACCTGCTCATTTAGGTTACGTAATGTTTTATTAAAAAATGTAAATATTTTGTATTGTATTAGATTTGAGATGTTCCGTGTAGTTGCCTAGGCTCAACCGAAACTCAAATAAATTATAATTTCCCACTTGCTAATAACTTAAAAAATATTCATTCAAAATCGTTTTTCAAGTATCGACCCGACATTATTATTTTCATTAGATAATTTTATTTTTATAGATAAACAAAACATGTAAACTGCTATTAGACATTTAAAGTTGCCTTTCGAACACTCTAAAACTTAACTACCGTCATACGAAAGAACTCAATAACTACATTTTTGGTTATTGTCGAAAGATAAGCATCAAATTAAAGATCAGCTTGTCCATTCCCCCCCCCCGCCCCCCAGAAACAAACAAAAAAAACAATACTAAAATAGCCAATAGGCATAATTAATTATAAACACGTCATGAGAAGCCCTTCAATATATTAATGTGTCATTTAAAAATTAAATCCCTAAATTCCTCTTCTGCTAGAAAGTTGAATGTACACCGCCACTGCAGGGCCGGATTAAGGGAGGACTAGGTCTCCGGGGCCCACATATATAAAGGGCCTGTAGTTTTTCAAGTGATAATTTGTATATATATTTTTTTAAAGTTTTTTATTGCTTTTGTCGGAGACATAACAGCATAAATATATTTTATGTAAAACATTTTTTTTTATAAAAGATGATAATACGTCTTATTATAAATTAATAAAACTTAAGAATTAAAAAATAAGAATTAATATATAATTTTTTTGATTTTGAGTAACACATGTTTTAACTCTACTTTAAATTTAAAATTTGTAATATTATTGATTAAATGTATGTATGTATATTTAACAAGCCTTAAACTCAATGCTTTAACAGGTATTTATGAAACAGATATTAATTGATCAATGGTACCGTTAAACGGGCCAACATGGGACATTATGGGTAATTTGGGGCATTGGTCAAATATATTATATTTTAATGTATATTTTTTTACCCATAATGCCCCAAGTTGGCCCGTTTGACGGTACCTAATATTAATTTTTAACAGTGTTATTTTATAAAGTTATGTGTACGTCAACGTGACTAATATTGTAATGTTCAAGCATGAAATAGAACAAAATGTTTTGTTATTCATTGATGGGGGCCCACAACTAAATGTCGGTCCCTGGGCCCCTTGAGGAGGTCTTAATCCGGGCTTGTGCCACTGAATACGAACATTGTTGGTTCTTTGAATAAAATAAATTGCATTTACATTTGCCCTAATCGTTTACAATTAACCACCCCCCCTCCCCTTAACTCTATTTAGTTTGGTCATAATTTTATAACAAGTAGGTACGAAAAAAAAAATAAGTCGCATCTACAATTAATTTTCGATGCATACTAGATGCCTCCCATTATGCCATCTCCGGATAGTTTCCTCCCAAGGATATCCGAACTCACTCTCAACGATCCCTTTTACAACAAGTAAACAGTTTAACGTATCTTTATTTATTTTTTTTTTAATTTTACACACACATAATTGCATTTTGCATACATACTACCAAATTGTTTTATTATTTCAGAAAAATGAATCATAGTGTATTTTGCAATGGATAACTGATAGTAGTATTGTGTATATTGCTAGAATAAAAATGACGATAAACTGGAGTTATCAGTTGTCGTATTTAAGGACTAAGCGACAGTAATATATATTATATACGTCGTGACTTGTGTAATTTTTAACGAAGGTCAATGGGATTTCAACTCTCGAACGTGTGACATATAGCGTTGACTTTTTGGTACGCGAATAATTATTGTACATCAGTATTACTTTATTGCCACGGTAGCGGCTTCCATTAAAACATGTAGTACTTACTAATAATTAGTTATTTATTTATTTATTTAGACACTACTAATTATTAGTAGTGTCTAAAGTTTGATTTTTGTTAATTTTACAGTATTTATTTCGGTTAAACGTGCTATTTTTTTGTTGAATACTATTTAGTTATGTAGCACACATATACCAATAAGCTAAAAATTATTACAAAATAAAATACTTTTAACTATAATAATAAAAATGTTATTAGAATAATAATCAGATATTCTTAGCAGGAACTCAACTATCTATGTGACTAATAAAAACCTCATAAATAAAACCATCTACCATGTGTGATTATAATTTTACTATTGTGTTTGTACTTATCGCGTAACTGATTTATTCGGTAGGTAGGCCGATTTATACAATAAATTGTGTTTACGTGATAAGGATATAGACAACATTTTATAAACGTTTTATTAACTTAAAAATACACAATCTATGTTGAAACTTATACTCACTAAATAGACTCGATATCGACGTACACGTTACTAAACTTGCCGATGCCAAAAACCATAGTATAGTGACCTGGGATAAATGTCTCATGTTTTTCATTCAGATCTAATAATATAAAAAAAAAAATAAATACAATTGCGGTTTACATTCAGCGTATATTATTTTACAATTAAAAATATAATTTTTTTTTATTATGTGATCTCTATTTTCCACGTTGTATGTTCCAAAATTAATTTTTTTGATGGAAATTTTTGAAACTTAAATGGTAACGTACATATTTTATTAACTTTTTAAATTAAGAATATTTTACTAAAAATATTGATTGGATGATAACCAGTTTTGAATCACTATTTTTAAAGTTATAAGAGTTAAAAAGTAAGAACGGGAGGGGAAGTGCGCACAGATAAAAATAATACTACACTCCATCTGCCTTCATGCCCTGAACTTGGAAACTATATAATATTATATATATTATTAACATTTCCACTTGACATGAGATATCCGCTTCTGTATGGTTCATTACATTGTGATAAAATATAAACCAGTAAACTAGGTACTTCAAATCCGCACCGAAGCTGATATCACCGAATGAAAATAAAACGGATAGGAAACTACATTGCAATATTAGGCTTTCCCGTAATTCCATATTTATAATCGTCTAAATTTATATGAGAAGCTTGTACAAATCGAATAGCCTTTCTAGTGCTCTTGCCTACGTCGGATATCTTATTTTATATAATTTTTTTCGTATAACATATTACATAAATTTAATAAAATAGGTTGTGATCGAAACAATTATAATAATATAAGGGCTTTTATCCAGATTTTTGGATTTTGTTTAACACTAACAACTGTAAATTGATATTCGCTGTAGGTAGAGCTGGACGATAGAATATTGGCAAATTCTTTTCAGCAAGATTTAGCCCAGTTTTACTTTTCATGACAGACATCACAATAAAAGTCCTACACGTCGTTATTGTCTATATAGATAATTTTGTATGTCAAAGGATAACAGAATTTTTGATTTTCACCTTTTTTTTATGGTAATTAATTTATAAAAATTATTTTCTGACAGAAAAATCATATGTCCGTTAATTTACTCCTAAAACCGAAATAAATTCGAAAGTTCAACAGACAAACAAATTTAAAAATAAAATAACTTTTTTTTTTTGTAAAAATTCTTCTTCAAAATCGAGCTGATCTTTAAATATTAGAATGGACATTTCTTTTTTATGAAAACAAATTTTAAAAACCTCAAATGGTTAAGTCATTACTATTAATGTGAATATTTTACTTAAAAATACTTACTCGACAGTCTAGTTTAACTATCAAATACACAACACTGAAAATCGCAGAGTTCCGTACATGAATGGTTTTTCAATACAACACAGAAATTAAGGAATTTAAATAAGTGTACACACAATGAGAAAATAAATAAAATACAGTAAAATTACAAATTTTATGTTTGAGAAAATAATTTTAAAAAAAATTTAAGTAAAAATACAAGCTTTTGTAGTTATTGAAAACTATATATTGTTTCAAACTTATTTCATGTTACTGGAACGAAGAAAGTTGTATAAATAATGAATTTAAGAATGAACAATAATATACTGGGAAAATTCTGGCGGTTATCTTTGAATTAAAAAGTGGAGGGGGTATATACTATATTGCTTCTTTCCATTTTGTGTTGTATCATTATTTCTATTTATTTATTTTCCACCACAAAACGACCTTTTATCAAAATTCCTCCTGTGGTTTACTACAACCAACAAAATCAACAACCATCATCGTTGCCAACAAATAAAAATCTGTCTACATATTAAACTAGTCATGAAAAAATGTAAATTTAGTTTACTTGGCCAGAAGTTCTGACTTAGCAAACATAGGACTTGTTATAATAGGAATATAGTAGGAAAACAAACTTCGACTTCCAGCCAAGTAAACTATATTTACATTTTTTCATGACTGGTTTAATATGTAGACAGATGACGGTATTTATTATTAAACAGTAATTCATGAAACGGATTATTTTTATTTTTAAAATTATTTTTACAATAGTATCACTAACACAAATTACTAATACTTGTAGTTGATTTATACAATATTTACCACACAAAAAAAGTCTTGAATATTTTGATCGGATATATGTTTATTTTCAAATTTTGATAACATGTTTATCGATTTTTAAGTCACGTCCTTAAATGGTATTTTTGATAAATTACATTGAAAAAGTTTTAAAGTTAAAAAAAATTACGTTTGTTAGTTTTAAGAAAAAAATGTAAAATTGAAAAAAAAAATTACATTATTTAATATGTATATAATATTATATAGTATTATCTTATTTAAATATAAGACATAATAATTATGCACAAATATCATGTATATATTAACAACATAAATGCAGTCTATCATTGTGCTTATATTTTATTATATTATATTGTACCCATAAAAAGGGGAATAGATTGATATTAATAGAAATACTAAGAAAAAAACATTTGATCATTATTATACAGACATCTCCCCTCCTTCCATAAAACCGATATTTCAAGTATCGAATTGAGATACCAAGACTACCCCCTAATGTTAAATGTATTGTCTAACATAGCCAATAAAAACCCTTTGTTTCGATAGGTTACATTTAAAGTGCAGATACCTTTTGATTCCACAATAAAAAAAAAATCCTAATTTTTTGAGTCTAACGAGGTTACATGTGAAATATCGGCTTTATACTTGAACACATTAGCTGTAAAGTAAAGGCATTTGAAAACTAAGAAATAATGTTTTTGTCACTAAAAGACGTATACAATGAATTATATTGTTATTATATAAAAAAAAAACCTAGCTATTATACAAACATAAAACATTGTATCGAAATACACAAAATATTATTTTATTTGTACTTCACACAAAATCAATGTGAAACGTTTGAAATAATTAATGCAATTATTTTTGATTTAAAAGTGTAACACAACGTATTTAGCTAAACTTAACTTTAAATTACCTATTATTTCTACACACGAAAAAAAGTCACATCTAAGGTTAACTGAGAAAATTTATATTGAAAGTTTAATAATAATTAAGGGCGAAATATTTTTTATGTACATTTTATTAGCGATACAAAATAAACAATAAAACGAGTAATCGGTTGACTGAATACATTTTTACGTAAATGTTTTTAATATTATACAATACTTTTAAAATAACGTTTACAATAATATTAGGATTGGCTAACGTTTAAACTACATTACACGACTAAAATTTGATTGCAGTTTAAACTTTTATTTTTTTTGTTAGCACACAACCATAAAAAAAGCAATGAAGAAAATTAATATTAATTTATAACAAAACAAAATAAAACAGATGTATTAATTAAATTATAGTACTTATCTACTTCCATAATTATTAATATCACAAAGTAAGAAATCCCGAAAAGTATGTAACGTTGTTCACTTATAATTTTTTAATTTAAATAAAAATAACCTATATTGAAACAGTCCATGAATTAATACGTTAATAATAATAACAAATTTAATTTTATAATGTTAGTAAAATAGAGGCTAGAAAGTTGAAAGGTATTATACTGGTGTTTATCTACTTATATAGTTATAACGATAATAAGTAAACATACATATGTACCGAACAAATCCATGTTGCCTATCGCTTGAGTACATCAATATCGACCAGAGCTGTTATTATATGAAGCTTGATGGTTAAATTTTCTCGACAAAACTCGACGGAAACAAACCGCTTTTGCCAGTTCTTAACAATGTACCTCTATACCAGCCGTCTTGTCTAATTTTATGTACATAAAGTATATCTCCTACTCTAAGTTCAAGTTCATATTCACTATTTGGTGGATATGCAACAATACATCTACACCTGCAAACGAGAAAAAAATGCAACGTTATAGAAAGTTCAACGATATTGAATTGGTCGTATTTATGTTTTATATGGATTATGATTTACATATTTTGTTGAGCCCGTGAACTTTGTTTTGGTTTTCGATCGTGTGATTTAGTATCAGTTGAAACTCCATTTGTGTCCAAACTCTGGGATTTTCGATGGTGTATTAACACTGAAGATCCATTCGGACGAGGTTCGCTACAAGTAAAAAAAAATATATATATAAAAGTGACACAGGTACACGTTTTAACGGATAAATTGACGATATTAATTTCAAATTCAGTTGTATGTTCGAAGTAATCTCTGAAACTATATGCTTGATTTCAAGGTATACTATTTTAATTGTAAGCCGAGCAAAGCCAGGTACAATTGGCTAGTAAATAATAAAAATTAAAACGCCAACTATTTTTAATGCAAAAATGATCACTCGACGTTATACCATGTTTACAACGGCACAATGGAAAACACAAAAATAAAAAATGAAACAAAAATTTACAAAAAATGCTTTTAACGGAAATAGTTGCCAAGCGGCAGGGTTTACAGTTTGTTGACGATTTTGCTTAGTCAATGGTAGACAATAACAGTCAACTGTTATTCTGACTTCTAACTCACCAAATTAAAGCCTCGTCTGAGCCTGCCTGCTTTAATTATGTTATTTTAGAATTGTGAGCTTAAATTTTGACATCAGTGAATTTGAATAAAAAATATTATGTATTTAAACGATAATTATTTATAAATTGTTCCATAAAAATGTAAATGTAAAATCAAGTATATTGAATTGAATATTGACAAGAACAAAATTAAAATATAATTAAAAAAAAAAAACCACTATTGTGGTTGAATTTGTACTTAGTACACAACCTAATTATTGTTATTATCATTTAAATACAAACATTTATCGTTATATAAAATCACAAAGTCAATATTTAGAACAATAGTTATCTTAACATACTAATTTTTACACTGCAAACTATTTATATAATATATAAACTAAAAGAAAATATTATACTTTTGTTTTTAAGTTACTGTTATTACAATTTTTGTAGTACTTCATTTTTTTTTTTTTTTGTTAATTAGGCATAAGATGATAATTTGATTCTTTGAGAGAATATTTGTTCGTTTTTGATTGGCAATAAAATACTTTTTATGACTAGGCATTTGACAATATATATCTGTTTTGTCGATATCCAACAAAAGTTTAAAACAAATATAACTAATATCACTCGATACTATTAAAATATACTTGTTAATATGAAATATCAAAAAATAGACTAGACTAACATTTTTGACTAAATACATTACTATACTAGCAATATTAAGTACAAGGCTCACCTTTTAATATTAAGGTTGCTTCGGATTTTCATAGGTATTTGATCAGGGTTCTTTTGTACGGCATCTACATTCAATAGTTTTGACGGACAAGAGTCAGACCTTTCATGCAAAAGCATAATAAATAATAAATAAAAAAAGTTAGTGCAATATAAAAACAAACAAGACTGCATGCATTATAGTTGTATGTGTGTATGAAGCAACTAAAAAAAAAATTCATCTCGATACCTAAGGTTAATATTTTTAAACCTCACCTTGTATGTACTGGCTGCGGTGCGGCTACTGCAGAATTATCATCAAAGACCGGATTATCCATCGAGTAAACAGGAGGAGGAGATTTTCGAATTTTCATATTCGAGAAACTACGCATTACTGAATTAGTTAGAGAACATTTCTTTCTAACCCGTTTCTGAGCCATCTATAAAGTATTTCAATGTTTATTTAAAAATATAAAACAATAAGAATAATTAAAAGTGAGAGTATAACTAATTACATTATCGGGGCTCAGCGAATGTGCAGGTGAAGGTAAAGCAGCCGTATTAGTAGCCGATGTACCAGATTCGGCTATAGATGATTCTTTTTCAGTTAAGTGTTTGCTTACATTACATGAAGCTGTTGATGACATAATAATAATAGAAATTATTAATTTAATCAGGACTTTCTTTATGAACTTAAGGTAAAAATTGTATATATATAAATCGACATACCCATATTTGAACACGAAGGTTTTAAGTTATGTTTTTGTGGCATCGAGATTGTACTAGAAGACGTTGATGGCATTTCTGACAACCAACTTGAAACACGACTGTGTACGGATGGACTACTACTGCGAGGAGGTAGTTCAGGCGGTGGATATAAAGGTAAATTTTCCTCTAAGTCGTTTGAAAAACTACCATCTGAAAGAATTTTTGTAAAATGTATAGATTTTTTGGGAGGACATTATTGTATGGGAATCGAACCCAGTACTCCTGGTACCAAACTTTACATCTCATATAATATACAAATTGAAAAATCACTAAATATGTACACATTAAAATTAATTAATTTAATTTAAAAAATGTGTTTTTAATTACCGTTCGATAATTCTTTGAGAGCGGAATAATCCTCTATTTGATCTTGTGCCGATGCAGAAACATTACTAGATTTATTGCCTAACAAACGTACAGATATTCTGAAAACATACAAACATTTTATACTTATATCCTAGACAATTCTGAAAAAATGTATTATTACTTTGCGGTTGTAACATAATTTCCCGGAAACACTCCAGAACAGTTAGTTTTCAAAGAAGTTCCTTTGTACCATCCGTCTTTACAACATTCAGTGACCATGTAGAGTTGTCCACGTTTTAATTCGAGTTCATCAGTCTTCTGAGGTTTATATGGATATAACGCAACATACCTGTAATTGACCATAATAATATTTAATAACAAAAATATATGTAATTTGCAAATCTAATTTTACAGAAAATGTTTGCCAAAACTATTTAAAGAATTGCTTATATTTAACCAGAATTTTCCTAATCAAAAAATAATTAAATAATTTTGCAGATGATTTATTGTGTTTGATATACACAATATTAGTTTAATTAAGTTTTATAAAGAAAAATTGAAAATCACACTGTTTTAATTGTTAAAAATTATGTAAATTAATTGATATAGCTTTTTTTTTTTACAATTATAAACAACAATACCAAATTGGTACCAATTAAATTTTTTTTCGGTAACTTAAATTTTCATTACAGTTAAAATTCTTATAGTAAGACATACTTTGCCGGTAGATGAACTGGTATTTTAGACCTAAGATTTTGAGAAACTATGGGTCGTGAATGATTTCTAAGACTCCCGTGTCGGTGAAGTTTAACTGAATCTTTTGTTCTATTTTTTACCTAGAAAAAATTCACAATTTTAATTTATTATTTTAAGACGTTAAAATTGTTTTAAAAAGATTAATACTGTAAATAATACGGATAATTTACCTGACTTGGTTGAACTTCTAAATTAGAACTAACACCAGAAAAGACAGCAATGTCGTCCTGCGTACAAATCTTGGCAGCGCTCATTGCGATTGGTCTAATTCAACAAACGTAATTTGATTTTAACAAATAATTTCTTGTTGACTTTATTGTTTCAATTGAAGCAATTGCAAATGGTGTTTGAAAATTTACGAAATATTTAAATTTGTATTGTTATGTTACGGATGCTGCCCTTTACCACACACACACACATACAACAGTATATATATATATATATATATATATATATATACACGTGGTTAAGATAATGACTGTAAAATATTAACATTATAATAAAAAGTGCAACCACGATATGGTGTAGGAAGTGTGATATGCACGTTTGGCAAAACCAATAAAGTACATGTAAAAAGACAATCGCACATCTACTGTGGCGTCCGTTTTCACACATGTAGCCACTAATATTATCTTTTTATCTAATATTATCCCACACTATTCACACAACACACGATACGCGCTAACATATACTCATATACATAGGAGTTGAACACAGAGCTCAGACAGACTCGGTCAGAACATTTAGCTGATGACAGTTGTCATTATTATTAATTATATACATTTGTACAAGTTATATTTATTTTAAATTGCAATAAATCGAAAAAGAACAAAAGAAATTTCTTAATTACTTGGGTTAAGAATCCAGGCTATTACAGTTATTTATTTATTTTTTTGTTTTGAAAAATAATTTAATAAAACAAATTAAATAGTTCACGGACATACTTTTTTTCCTCATTTTCAGTTTATAATATTTTGTATTGTATAAAACTTTTATTTAGCCATATTGAAAATATTTCTTTTGTTGAAATAATTTTGTAATACAATCAGTCATAATTGTTTGACAAGAGTGGCATTTTTTACTGTATTCCGGTTGCAATAATTAGACACTTTCTTTATTACAGTTTTACTATTTTTTTTCTCTTCTAAATTCCGAAAAAGCATGAATTTGAAAACTGTGTTTACCCTTTATAAATTTTAATAGTAAGAAAAAAAATAAGTGTACTTATATCATATTTAATTATTAAACTTAAAAATTAAATCACCTCAATGTGTAGTAGTGATGGTACACTAAAAAATGATAATACTTCTATCTAATTATCTTTTAAATCAGCGGTAAGCTTATATTTGTAAGATAGTAGGGCCAAATAGTGAAATGATTAATCAAATTATAATATTTCACATGAAATATTTCGGACTTAAACACTAATTGCAAATAATAAATTTAACATTTTTTGAAACGTTCTACACTTGAATATTTGGTCTACAAACCTTTCAGCACTTTCATTCATATATCCAAGGGATGAAGGTCCAATACCATTGGTATAGCTATGCCGTTTTGGTTGTTCGGCGTTTGAAGACTTAGAAGGTCGATTTGTTAAAGACTCGGCAAAAGGGCCATGTGATGGCGATTGACTTGGAGAACTAGATGAAGTATCCGATGGAGAAGTAGTGTTGGGAGATGTTGTAGTGTTAGAAGAAGATGACGAAGTGACATCATTGATTAGTTTCGTTGTATTTGGTGAAATTTTTACCTCGTCCGTTGTGTTGTTTTGGCTGTTATTTAACTGACAAGCAGCAGATGAATCAATCGGTAACAAAGGAGCTGTAGCTTCTTCTGGTGTCGGAGGAGCAAGTCTACTTTGTGTAGGTTGAGAACTGCAAGTGAATAAATTGAAAATTAACATTTATCAGAAATTTTTTTTAAGGATTAAGATACTCACTTAACAGACAATTTCATCAATGCACGTGCGATTTGATTTAAATCGACAAAAGACAATGGAAATATTCCAATTCGGTTTGCAATCTTACCCTCGGCCCAATTTTGATCGATTCGCCTCAAAACTGTAATAATATCACCCTAAACAGAAAAAATAATAAAAATATTTTAAATCCAAACTACCAATACATATTTTAACTAAGTAATAAAGTGTTTGAATACTTTTGAAAATGACAAACAGCCCTCGTCGTCCTCTTTGTTCATTTTAAAATTATACAACGCTTTACATTGTGGTATATGACTAGGAAGTGATGTTGGAAAAACCTACACAGTGGGAAATAATAAATACTAATTAGTATTAAGGTATAATGAAGTACAACAACTAATTTATAAGTAATGATAAAAAAGTAAAAATTAAAACAAAGAACAACAACGAAACAAATTTACCTGTACATATGATAGAGGAAATATTCCTATTACACCGTTTGCTTCTCCTTGATACCAATTAGAATCCACTTTTTGGCGTAAAATAATCATGTCACCTTTTTTAAAACTTAAATCCCTATAAATAGTTATTGTTAGTACGTTTAATATTTCGCAGTTGTTGATATAATAACCATAAAGAAAAGTACCACGTTAATATGAAATACAATAAAAAAAAATTAAAGCATGCTAGTAATGAAAACAAACTTATTTTCTCTATCCTGTATGACATAAAAAATTATCAATTTTTTAAACACTTACCCAGGTTCAGTAGACGAATAATCATATAATGCTCTTGCAAACACGTTCCGTTGACATGGCCCCACCTTAAAACACATTTTATAACATTATAAACTAGTTTGTTTAAATAAAAACGGTATAAATCTATATATATATATATAAACGAATGTATGTCTGTTTATCCCTTATGCATTACTATCCTATTCATCCGAACGCCATGAAACTTTGGTAAAATCTTGAGTATACTCCTTCAAGGATTTCTGGCATAGTACTTTTTGAAAATATCACCCCTAAGGGTGGCCTCATACACGAATTTTGTACTTTAAATACAAATTAGTTATACTTTTTTGCAGGTGGCGAGTTTGTCCCCCCCCCCCAAAAAAAAAGACACTGTAAATGCCGATCAAACGTGTGCTTCAAAGGAGCATATTTTATAATTTTTTTATTGGAACGTTCTTCGCCACACTTTAAAGAAGCAATAAATATTGAATCAGTGGTTCTATTAATTTCTGAATTGAAATTAGCATAACCACACATAATTTAGTAAAATAAAAAAAAGTGTGTCCGGTAAAGAAAATGTGTTCGATTATTACACGTTAACATTTCATTATGATTTTTTTATTTTTATTCCTGTTTTTACTTTTATAAATAGGTAGGTAGGTATAATCAATAATTACCTGTTTGGATGTTTTGGGAGGCCTTTGGTCAGAACAGCTAACAGCGGCTGGTTTTTTAGGAGGTGAAATTGTATTACTCTTACTCTTCATGCCTTCTAAAATTCGCATAAGTAATACGTTGGGCGGTAGTTCATTGATTCGGCATTCTACTAATGTACGGCATTCCGGGCATCGTAATTCTTTGTGCGTAGCTATTATTTCGTCCAAGCATTTTTTGCAAAACGTATGTTGGCATGGCAAAACTTTGCTGGACGTATCTAAGCGTTCTAAGCACACTGAACACTCGAGCAAGTCGTTTAAAAGTTTTTCATCCATTTTAATGTTATGCAAATTATCTTGATAAAAAGCAAATCTGAAACATAATAAGACGACTCTTTAATTACATTAATATATTTGTTAATCTCGAGGCAATAACAATAGAAATATAACAAATAGGGAGTAAACAATTTTGATATTACTCAATTTGAATAGAGGGAAATTAGCAGATCTCCTTATCGTTATGATTACTTAACACAAATCAACTAGGTATGGTTTCTATTTATTAACAAGAAGATACGAAATATTCGATATAGCATACTACAAGTTTACTACGTCTTACAGGTAAGTATGTATTTAGTGTTTACCTTTAAATCATGTTATATTAAGCTTTTGTCATCATCGAGTTCCACTCAAGTGATACCGTGAAAATGATTTCCATCGAACCATCATAATATGACTAATGATGTTAAAAATTACAATTTACTATACTGAAAACGGTATGACTAACGTGGTAGATATTAATAAAACACACAAACTAATGTCACCGACCGAACCTATTACTAACGAATCACTAATAGATTTAAAAAAAAAAACGCGACTTAACAATTTGGCATTTGCACAGATTACATCCTCTCTCTGGAGTCTGGCCTGTCTACAGTTGTTCTCGGTTCGGGTTTTTTTCCCCATCACAACTATGAGGGCGCGGCCAGTGTATCCTATCACTGTTTTGTTGAAGCCAAAACGACCGTCGTTGACCACGTTCTCCGCTAGATCGCAGTGTAGAGCGCCGGATTTTACACGGGGTTTAACATTCTTCCTCGGTGCAAATAGTCCATCGTCGGCTTTAAAAACGACATCTATCTCAGTAACCCGTGCGTTGTGCATCCTGCGCTCTAATCAATTACCATCGAAATAATATTATACCATCAGTGTAACCATAATGGTCGATACCACGAAATTAAAACTATTACGACTAGAAAGCGGATTTCGAGCTAGGTTTTAAAAATTTCAAAATATGATGCTAATATGCATTAAGAGGTCGTCGCACCGGTGATTTTCAGTGGTAAAAACATGTTTAAGCAGACTGAAAATAACTCGCTTAATTTTGATTTTAGATTAAAAGCACCCATTATAAAATTAAAAGAGAACAATATTCCGGTGGGCAAGACGGTGCGTTTTTTTAAAAAAATTCATTTTTCGAAAAGTTACAGTCATTTAAAAATGTTAAAATAGTCGTTATTTCTAAACTATGTATTGAGCGTAATACTTGGAATAATGAAAAAAACGCACCGTCTTGTCCTCCGGAATATTGTTCTATTTTAACTTTATAATGGGTGCTTTTACTCTAAAACCAAAATTAAGCGAGTTATTATCAGTCAGCTTAAACATGTAGAGATAAAAAAACATTTTTCAAATCGCTTTTAAGGATGCTGTGATAGTCCGAAAAATAAATTAACTACCAAAATAGAGTCCTAGTTATTGAACTAATAATTACACATCACAGTTTAACCTTTAAATTAAGATTTTTTGAAAAATTGCCTATACTTTACTCCTTATAAATAGGCGGTGCGACGCCCTCTTAATATAAATCTTAAAATAGACCGATAAAATATGATTCAAAAATAGGGTAATATGGTGGTTAAAAGTTAGGGATGATATTGTCTTTTTCATTTTTCTAATAATTTATCCTCACTGTTAATCATAAATCATAATATATTATTGTACTTAAGTAATTATCTTTATACAAGCTAATAACAGTGACAAGTTTACTGATAATATAGGATAAACGCAAATGCGTGTTTTAGATAATATTATGTTGGTCATCGGATATCGACTTTGATGCCTAACTGAAATGGACAAATGCCTTCTTCAGCTAGGTGTTTTTTTTTAAACAAAATTAATATAAATATACAATGTAACATTAGTATTTACTAATGGAGATTAGACACAATTCACAAGTACCTATACTGGAGAAGTAGCGGCCTGATTAATAGTTTCCTATAAAAATGACAAATATATCCACAAAAATAATATTTGAATATTGGATGCAGATATAGACTTTTAATAGTATGTACCTGTTTACAATAACTATTAATTCGTTACTTTTGTTACTGTTAAACAAATAATTTGTATATTTTTTTGACTAATGAAAAAAAGCAAGAAAAAATCAAAACGTATAAAACAGTGGACAAGTTATCCTTTCTAAAAATAAAATTGATATGCGTTGATACAAATAAAGTTGTAAGAAGGTGCGAAATTTAGCTTGTTTTTTTTAATATACTAATTTTTATTGGCAACTTCTTATGAATCTATGTATGTTTAGTTGCCACCATGAAGGCGTCGAACAAGTATGAATTTTCATCTAGAGCGCCCATGCAATTATTACACTGCTTTTTTTTTTTTAGACATTCATATTATTTTGTAAGTAACTATATATTTTTGGCTACCCTATTCGCATCGTCTAACCTTTTAAACCTCGTCAAATTTAATCGTGTTAATTATTATTCCATCGATTTAAGGTCTTATTTATAAAATTATGAATTTGCAATTAAATTATATCTAAAATTCCGTGCTTTTTCTTTTCTAGTATAACTCATACACAATGTACCTTAAGTATTTAAAATTACCTTAGCCTTAATCTTAATTATATTTTATTATTAATTTTAAAATTAACATTGAAAGATTTCAGTTGTGTCTTTCATTAAAAAGACACACTTGAATTGTAATACAAACCGTACAACAATATATGCTTTTTGAATCATTTTTTTTTTGTAACCCAATAAGCGACAAGCATGCATATTTTTTTAAATCATCGACCTTAAAATTTTCAAATCGAACATTTTCATTAAACTAGATACTAATGATTACTAATGGTTTCGTTAGACTTTAGAGTGGAATGTTTTTTTCTCAATGACTCTTTGTGTTTGTTTGAGCTCTACCGCATTAATGAGTTGTAATTTTGTGGTCCTGATACTTAGTATTTTATCAACTACCAATACTATAGCTACCTATTCTGCAGTGTTTGGGGACAAAAAGGAAAAAGTCTAATTTTGTATATTATTTCTTTTGGTTGAACAAATGTGCAGTTTGATAGCCCAAAACCAGTTTGAATTTTGATATTGGGTCCAATAGGGCCAATAACAAATTTTGATCAAGAATTAGTTAGACCATGTAAATTAAAACACGTCTTTGTATCGTGTAAAAATGATAGATATTAAGATGAAAATTGAAGAAATAAATACGAAGTTTTGTCGAAAAATCGAATGGAAAAAATAAAAAATTAAGAAGCAAGATTGACCATATATTATTTTGTAACGACTAAACGGTCTACTTAAAGTTCATACCGAAGCCGGGAAAACGGTCTAGGTCTATTATCAAACATTGCTCAAGGACACTACTCAAAATTCAAAAATAAATTTCACTAAAAACCCATAAAATAGTATTTTCTTTATTTTAGAAATAGGAATTATACTAAATTGTACTTAGTACTACGAATATCGGATACAAAATACAATTAATTAGAATTGCTATTGAAACACACGAAAACGTTGCTCTTTGGTAGATTCCGATTTGTGGTCAAATGTAAAAATGATACATTTCATATTGTTATCCTTTCAACATTAAAACTATGTACGAGCGGCCCGTATATTGTGGCCGGCCACATAAACAATATTAAAAAAGCAATGATACAAGCGCGGTCACATACATCTGTGATTTTATATAAGTACGTCGTGTGTGTGTGTGCGTATAACATATAATAATGTGTGTAGGTTGAGTGAATGGTGAAGGGTAAAATCGTATAAGAAAAAAAAAAATGTTAAAAACCTAGGACAGGAATTCCATTTCATTCGCGTCGACCGGACCTACAATAGCAACGCGGCCGTAGTATTCTGAATTGTATACATATATATATATATATATATATACTGCACTACTAGACAAGGAAAAAAATTTAAGAACTGGCATACAAACATGCACGCACACAAACACCAAACTCGGCCCGTGTTATGGTAATAGCCGCATTCCAGAGAATCCGCGGTCTGATTGGCTACCGTTTCGGTGATGTCATACCACTGATAATGGGACTGGCCGCCGCCGCGACCGCTCTGTATACGGTCGTTTTTCTTGTCGCGGTGACGGGGGCAACGTTGCGTTCAGTCCGACCATTTCCAAGATGGCGAAGTGCGCGTGACATCCATCGTCGGTCGGTCCGTGTTTCGTTTTCGAATTTTTCGCTGTTGTTTTAGTTTTTTCTCAAATTTTTTTTTCTCCCTTCTGGTTCTTGATTATTTCGCAAATAGTTTTGTTACAAATGACTCGATCCCGCCCGGTAGTACACGTGTGTTCGCAAACGAATTGAATTTGGTGACTTTGATGGATATAATACAATGCCAAGACGACGGAACGGAGAGATACCGTTGCCCGATGGCTGGGATTTCGCCAGAGACTACGACGGAAAAGTGTACTTCATTGACCACAACTCCAAAAAGACCACTTGGATCGACCCCAGAGACAGGTAAAGTTTTTTTTATTGTAAAAAAAAAACAATCCTTATCAACCCGTTTTCGAGTGCCCGCGCGAAAATATGTGAAATGTGCACATTCCGGGCTTTGACAGAAATCCGGCTGGAACATCACGGTTTTTTTTCCATTTCAAACTGTCATCAGTGCCATCTGTATTGAAATATGCCAACCTATCCGCGGGTTACCCCGCCGTCCCCCCTTCCCCCCGGCTCCTATCGTCCATTCAACAGTAGGTAGTGTTGAATACAATTTTTTTACTGAACAAATAACAATATTGTTGTTGGTCTATTGACAATAATAATAATAACAACAACATCAAATCGTATGTATAGGTACTACGTTTAAAAAAAAACCCTACCAAATATTATCACTAAACATGTTGAAATGTGTTTCAATCGAATTACTTAATTTTTTAAATATTTCAATGATAATTTTGTATCGGTAATGTTTAGGATTTTAGTCGTTGTTAGGTTAATGCTTTAAACCAGCTGTACTTAATGTTAACAGGGAACGCAAGGTAATATGTATAGACGACTTACAGTAATTGTTTCAGTATTATCTCATTCACTACTAAATACGCTAATTATTACTATTAATTATTATTATTATTATAATTATGATAAAATAATCATAGTGGCTAATGAAAAATGTAATGTATGAACTTAATTAAGAAATTATCTATTAAAACATTAAGCTAACAGTTTCCATTATGAATTCACTGCTTTAGTTATACAAAAATATTGTTTGGCCAAGTGTGAACTCTGGTATGTTAAATAATATTTGACGAGATAATATGTTAGTACTATTTATTAGAGAGAGAGTCCAAAAAAAAGTTATGCTAGAAATTAAACACTACAATCCCTACGTTTGACTCTTATTCTGATTAGTATTAGTGTTTAAAAATTAAATTAATATCTAGGGTTTGTTGCATCAAAATAATATTAAAATTAGTAAAATCTATAACTTAAATTAAATAGATAGGTACAATATGATGTTATAAATGTCTTCCAGTTAGTACTAAAAATTGTTGACAGTGTTCTGTGTTGATATTATTTGTATTCAATCAATTTTATGGACTTCCCTTAAAAAAAGAAATATTTAATTTTGTGGGCTGTTTTAAAAATTGGCTTAATGACTGAAGCCTGTCTAGTTTGGCTCTAACATAAGGCCTCATAAATCAATTAATAATGTTACATGGAAATTTATTTGTAAAATGTATTGATCTCATTCATGTTATCTATTTGGAATAAAAGTACACTCCACTCTCTGCCAGCAAATATTAAGCTAATTGAGTAAGTTGCACAACCGGTTACCTATTGTCATCATCGTCACAAACATAGCGTTTATATGACTAGGTATGACTAGGTCTTCAACGAAATGTAAATAAAAAATTAAAACAATGCGTTCCCATTACAACATGAGAAAAACATTAATTGAATAAGATACATTTCTTAAATTTTGGGTACAGAATGTCATTACCCTAATGAATAAAATTAAAAATAAAAAAAAACCTTTTTTGAACTTCGTTTTAGAAAGAGTGGAAACTTTATTATCCTCTATTTTAGGCTTAGAATGGACATTAGCTGGATGTCTTGCATTGGTAAAATATAGCTGGCAATGCAGAGCTGTTGTCAACAAAGGATGATATTTTTGTAATGCCATTAGACTAGTTAACCTACATATCTCATACAATTCAGGTGCATTTCATTTTGGTAATGACTTGTAGTCGACGTCCAGCTCTAAGTAAAATTAAATATACAGAATATTATATTGCATCAGTGTTGAAAATCGTTTTTCTGATTATGCCCTTTAGAAGATGAAGGAAAAAAAACCTTGGTATACACGTAATAATAAGTGATGTTATAGGTCTTAATTTGTTCTGTTACCCACAGCAATGGCTTTTTTAATTATTTGTACCTATAAGTATGTAGTTATAGTTTTTGGCATTATGGGTACATTTTAATAAAAATATATTATTATATTTTGTACATTGTTATGTGCTTTTATATTTGTATTGGTAAATAATTGCTTATGCGCTCAGTTACAAATAGTTATAAAATATAAATGAGGGTTGGCTGAGGTTGAGCTCCGTCTAGCGTAGCTTGTTCACATCTGGGAAAGCCAATGTGTGTATCTAATATTACAATCAAATGTTCCAACACTAACAGTTTGACTATGCTGTAACCCCCTAACAATAACGATCGACAAAGTTGTAAAAACAAAATTTACATAAATAACTATGCTAATCTTATAGTTAATGTCAGCTGGTATGATATAGAAAATTTAGTTTCATATTAAAATATACATACCTAACTCGTTTACAGATTTGTATATTGCTTAATTTTTTATGTAGGTAGTTTTTTTTAATGATATGCATAAAAAAAAAGTGGAAAACCGATCACTAAGAAAATTGTAATAATTTAATTTGGTACAATCATTTATTGTAAAAGTGGTGTTATGTGTTGATAGTTTAAATTCTTTAAAGGTTTCTTTTAATTTTGGAGAAGGGGAGAGGATTTTCTCAATGACTGAGGTCTGTACATGTACTAGGTAAAGAAATTGGCCAATTGTAGAAATTTAAAGTCTAAAAATAAATATACTTCGTTTCTGTCTCAATTTCTTACTACACTCCTACTGTTGCCCTCTATACTAACGATACAACTTTTTGAATTGCTTAAAGTTTTATAAATTATGACAACACATCTGGCGTGGACATGTCATTGGCAAAAATACTTACCCCCTAAAAAATAGTGTGTAAAAAAAAATTGCTACAAAAACTGATTAACATAGAGGTTTCAAAAATGAATTTCAAAACGTTATTATTAGAATATTTAGAAGAGCTGACGTTTTGCAAATACCAATTGTAACTACACGGCGATAAGATTTTTTTTCGGGACATTTATAACTCGTGTGAGTTACGAAAAAGATAAGTCAAAAGTATCCAAATTAAAATAATTGCGCAGGAGCCAGAGTTGACTGACCTTTCACGGAAGTTCCCTCCACATCAAAATTAATTGGTTTATTCAGTTTTTTAACCCTTTTTTTAGGGGGGACCTTCTAGGAAATATTATACTTTGGAAAACTGTTTATGATCGTTTCACGAATACAAATATCGTGTAACGTACGTCTTTATAGCGGCCGTTTTGGGGTCGCCATGGAGAAATATTTATTTATACATAATTTCTTTTTGCGTGTTGACATAATATTGTAATCGTGTTAAAAATAAACAATCCTAGCGACCACAACAGCCCGGATTCGTGATGCCGCGCCATGCTGTCTATGAAACGCCTAAGTCCAAACTAAAGTCGCCGGTCGTGTGGACCTTTTTAATTATAAACACTTCTCTACCAAAGTGGTCATTGATGCCAACGATAAAAAAAAAAAAAAACCGTGTGCCAATTAAAAACAAAAAAAAACAAAAATGTATGAATCACGAGCAAACGTTTTTCGATTGCCTAAGGTTTTTAATTATTTTTTTTTATATATATATAGAATAAGATCAGTGTAATATTTGCTAATGTAATTTACTAGATACGAGTAGTGTGAAAATTGTTTTCCCGACTAATTTAAATCGGTAAAATGTTTGAATTGTTTACTGTGAATGCTTTTTTCATTCTCAATATTATGTAACTTAGTCCAGCGTTTATTGGAAATGTCACATTAATATTTATAAGTTACATTTATCTTGATTATTTGTGTTGTCCGTTGAATAAAGAGCTTGGTAAAAGGTTTTATTGTTTGGTTGGAATTAAGCTAACATCGTTTTTAGTGTATTGCTTTTGCGTTATAGTTCATACGATGGTGTTAAACCGTAATTAAAAACGTGCAATAACCGAAAAACTTCCTCTTTGGATGGCGTATAATGCCTAGTAAAATTTGTATTCTGTCTAGTGTGTGTCAGAACAAATTCGGATATCTAATACACAAAAAACTAGAGAATTTAAGTATAATAATAGGTTCCTTTCATGGAAACAACAATGCTTTTAATATAATATTATCACATTCTGTCGACACTTTCTATGCTCTTGTGCATTTCCTTTTTTTGTGCAATGGCAATTTTCATTTTTACTATACATTTTTTTTTCCACACACGATTCTGCAGTCTGTAGCATTATTTATTTAAATACAAAATAATTCGATTGACTAAATATTTTGAGCGAGAAAAAAATGTCGTAATTTGATGGCATTTTTTTTTTGTTCAATCAATTAATCTATTAATTAAAGTTATTTTATCGGGAGGCGTTTACTGTTAACTATTATTTCCATCTGTCGTATAATTGTAAAGACGTTCATGGTATTTGCCGTTTGGATTTGTCTACCTATTATCATATCTAAGATTTTATTAAAAAAAATACTCGGTAGTCATTATTCGTTGTTTAGTTAAGAAGAAATCGATTGTTGACAATTTGTGGGCCAGGACATGTCGCGACCATTAAATAATGGATCAATTACATTAAATCATTTAGACGAAAAATTCTGGTGTGAGGCGTGCAAGTGTTCAGGAATGTTTAGACGTTTCGTATAAACACCAACATACGTATATTATTTCATACCGATGATTAAGCCAAATAATATGCGATTATAATATATTCGTGCAAGAGAAAAATACTCTACTGAATACCAAATTAATTATTATGTTCCTAACAATTGACGCAATTAAAAATAAAAACTTCAGCGAAAAAAAACGTTTCAGATAAAGTAAAGGGAAAAATGCACAATATTAGATTACATACAACAATTGCAGTCTTGAGCTCACTAAATTTACTTTAAAAAATTAATGTAGACTCAAGGCAGCAAAAATTTCGAAATATGATTAAAATGCTGTCGGTGAAAATTTTAAACATTTTAAAAATTAAAAAAAAAACTTATTAAGAATATTTTGTATTTAAATTTTTTTGACTGTCTGGGAAAGAATTACATCTCTTTTTAATCCAGTGCGCAAGCCCTAAATTATTATTCTTGTATACTTTTGTTTTTTTTTTAAATAAAGCTGACTTGAATAATTAGTTTTTTATGATGGTAAAAACTTGGCATACCACTCACATGTCAAGTGGAAATGTTAATAATATATATCTATACAATATATGTGTGTGCATTCTATAAGCGTGTAAATTTGTATTGGCGACTCCTGTACACAATTATACCGTTCGCGTGACATCGTTCTTCAACAAGTTTATAAATTTATTTTTTGCTTCTTACAGAAAACAAAATTTTTAATTTTCCATAAATAAATAATCAGTATGCAGATATGTGATGATTTCGTTTCGTTCTTTTTTTTTTATATAATTAGCCTCGACTGCTTGGCCATTGGCTCTAACTTGAGTTAATTTATGTAATGTTGTCTTTTTAATATTATGTAAATTGGAATTTTTTTCGCCTATAAAGCATATTTAAATTTATAATCGACGAACGATTTACATTAATATTTATTTTCCCAGTATCTCTCTGTATAAAAGTTCTTCTGGTTTTTTTTTGTAATATATTAAATGTTGACCTTAAAAAAAAAAAATAATTAATAATATATTTTTTTATTTTTTAGGTATACCAAACCCCAATCATTTGCCGATTGCATTGGCAATGAATTACCTCTTGGTTGGGAAGAGTCCATCGATCCTGTCATCGGGGTCTATTACATTAACCATTTCAACCGTGAGTAGTACCCTATTTTGTAACTATTCCGTTTGACGGTTATCTTAAACACTTGTGTGCGTTTCCTATGTTTATAGAATGTACCCAATTGGAGGACCCGAGGTTGGAGTGGAGAGCTGTACAAGAAGCCATGTTGAGGGATTACCTTCACACGGCTCAAGACGTATTAGAGGTGAGTTTGCGGATAACATTTAACCGTGTATGGGCGGACATGATAGTTTTTTAGAATATAATATAATAATTTGTTAATCTATAGTTTGCCTCTTTGTTTTTAAACAATAATATTATTGCTACGCAAAAATGCCGTCTGTGGTGATTGTTTAAGCAAATCCACTTGTCGCGTATACGATCGAAGCGATTTAAATAATTTGTCTGTAAAAAAGCAATTGTTCGACAAAAAAAATGTATGTATATATATATGTGTGTGTGTATGTGGCGAGAAAAGAAGGGGGGAAAACAATAAGACCGTTTTATGGGTATGATATGCAGTTACTTTTCGTACCGGCGTGGCCTATTCATTATTTAGTGATAGTTTTGCCCCACTTTTGGTTCAATGACAAATTCCACTGGACTAACCTGACTAGTCATAAAAACGTTACCGCCGCCGTGTATCTCCGTGTATGTAATTTTTAGAATTCCTCAATAATAATTATGTACAGGGTGTTTTTCGCGCGCACCAATTATTATGATAATAGAATATCTAATTTTTCGCATTTTACATTACGCGTTTTTCCGCTATTATTATGAAATCGATCCCGCCGCGAAAGAGGGAGGGGAGAAGTGTTGTTGTGACGTGTGTGTGTATTGGTAAAAATAGTTTAAACTTCGCTTATTCGTGCGTTTCTCTCTCAACTATATTAAAAAAAAACAACAACAATTTATTCTCAACCTGTGATAAATTGATTTATCGACCGCCAAAAGTCATTGAAACCCGACGCAACTGCGCTCGACTTTATCCGGCAACCGCATTCCGATGCACTTCTCTCCCGTTGGACAAAAACAATAATAACGCGGTTATTGTTTCCCGGTAACGCATAGACGACGTGCCGTCGCCCGACTTTTATAGTATAAATATTATACACGTCCGTCTTCACCCACTTCTCCTCCTCGCCCACCGTCAAACCACTCGCGTCATATACAATGTAATATAAGGTATTTTGTGTTTTTCGTTGGTCGCGTGGCCGGCCAGTTTCGCCGTGTTCTCCCAGTGTAAATGTGGTGGGGGCGAGGGTGAGAATGGGGCGCAGTAGGGGAAAGGGAGACGTTTCGCTCAGGGCGCAACGTGTTCGGTGGGCGCTGCGGGGTTCTCTCGCATCCGACTGATCGGCCGTCGGCGACGACAACGACGTTGTTTGATACGAAAAGAATGCGGTCCCTCTGCGACGTTGCCGCGCCGCAACCGCGCGCCTCAGAATGTGGAATGTGAAATGCACGGAACGCGCGCGCGCACTGTTACCAACGTATACGGGCCGCAGACGGCATTCACCGGATTAACCGATATATTTTATTATAAATATTATTATACTTAAATTCGTATCTCATTTTTTACCCGATGAAAATATTTTATTCGTTTATCAGTCTTTTGTCGTTGGATCCGTCAATTAAGCCTTTTTTTTTTATCCTTCTCTTGGCCATGTCTCTTCTTGTGTCCCCGGTGTAGGCGAGATACCGTAAGGAATGTATATTTATATATTGATCATCTAACCATGAAGAACATATTATGATATTTAGGGTGACATATTTTTAACGAATATGGAGAAGAAACAGCCCCGAAAATAGTTTTGTACCGAAAAAGCACCGCTAATAAACGCTTTGTAGGCGATTTGTGTGTAACTAAAAAACCAAAAGAATGTGTCTCTTTTTGACAGACATCCGAGACTTGGCATATTGGCCGATCGATTTGGGTGCGTTTTTTTTTTAAGCGTACTCGCGATGAAATGAAATCGTCATTGTCAATTTGACCAGAGCTGCTACATATTATATACATATATAAAATAAGTTTGTATATACATACATATACACATAGGAATAAATATAGAAAAATCCTAACCGAGAGAGGCGGGTTGAACCGGTTTCCGATGGGCTACCAGTGTTACACACGCCAACGATAGGATTCTCTTGTGTGAGCGACTCGTTAAAAAACCGCGTACGGAGAGAAAGAAATAAAAACTAAAAAGTAAAAAAAAATATATATATATATATATATATGTATATGGTGGCAACGCTGCACAGACCGACTGCTGCTACTGGTGTTACGGCGGCGGCACAACACGATAGGATTGTTTTCTAACCAAAAGAAAAAAAAATTTTAAATACTAAATCAAATCGAAGACAATCGACCATATTCTGTTTATTTTTTATATAATATATTTTTTATTTTTCTCGTCCCGGCAAAAATGATTATTATTGCCACCGCCATCGCTTGATAACAAAAAAATACATACTTGTTGTGTACACTAGGCTGTCTTAAAAAATATATACATTTTTCACATACCTCCCCACCCCCCCAATTGATAGTAGCCTATTCAAATATGAAATCTCAAAAAAATTCCGAAGCCAAGCTCAACTCGTGATTTTTTTTTTTTTGCATTTGCTAAACACGGGAAATTATATTATTTAAATAAACAATTTTAACTCAAAAACTAATCAAATTTTTTTTAATTTTAAAATAGACTCTTAAAGCTGAAATATGACACTTCAAAGTCACTGTTTAGTTATTTTACGATAAAAATTATTTTTATCAATGTACAGCTTATTAAAACTGATAACTTAACCTCATTAACGATAGCTTCAGTAATCGTCGTCTATACAGATGGATATAATATTTCTCTTCTTTCTGGAGGGTTTTCTTTCTTCATTCCTGAATTGCATATTTCTTTTACCGATAATCTTCCTTCTTATTCCTTTACTGTCGAGTGTTATGTTATCTTTGAACCTCTTAACTTAATTTCTACTCTTCCTCCTGGCCAATTTTTAATAACCACTGATACTTTGATCTTGTTTTCTTGCGCTAAAATCCAACCCTTTCAAATCATATATCTCTCCTTTAATATTTAAAATAAAAAATATTATTTTCCTCTTACATCGTGCTAATTTTGACATCAAGCTTACTTGGATACCTGGTCACTGTGGGATCCAAGGCAACGCATTTGCTGACAAATTAGCAAAATCCACTGCTTCCCATAATATTCACACACCCATAATAGTCTAGGCATCTAGAATTTTAAGAATTTCTTATTTGAATTTGCTACTACTGATTGAAACCCTTTCTTTAATCGTTTTTTCGGGACACTAGTTAGCAAAAAAAAATCCCCAACGGATATTGCCAACACACGCCTTCAAATCAAGTTTGATTTTAATGATCTATGTCACCGAGCTACTAGTAGGATTATTTTTTTCAGGAAATTAATTTTTGTGTGTTAAAAAAAAAACTTGAAAATTAGGGCCAAGTTCCTATATTCTATTTAGTAGTGTTCAACTGTAGGTATATTAAAAATACAGCTTGTAATTTAAACATCAAGAGTAAATACATTTTGCGATAAGATTGGGATTATTATTAAACCTGACAGAATATTATGTCATTATCGTAATGCTATCGTGTAGTTGTGCGACCGATAGGTGAAAACGAAATCCGTTTCCCTATTACAAACATAATATGTGATGGAATTTTTGTTTTTTGTTTATTGTACTTGTGTGTGCAGTAAGTACAGTAGCAACAGCCGATAACAGTGTTCAGTACACGTGTAGAAATAATTCTAAACACGGATATACACAGGTATCAATGAATATGTTTGAAAAAAGAAAAACAATTTTTTTTATCATTTTTGCTGTAGCCCGATAAAAAAAACTTGCATTGCCGACAAAAATCCACGATTAATGTTTGAGAGTTAGCAAAAAAAACGGAAAATATTTTTGGTTTTTTGTCCAGAAAATAAAAGGCTTTAGAGCGTTGAAAGCGGTCTGTTTGTTGGACTTTTTAGACCAAAATGCCTGACAAAATGTGGACTACTTAGGATGGTTCTAGTCTGTAAATGTAGTAATAGTTCTTTGGCTACTTCACTTGGAAAAAGATTTTTTATTTTTTTTATGTAAAAAAATTTTGTTTCAATATTGAAAATTAATTTTAATATATTTAATTTTTCAAATAATTGAACTTATTTAATTACAAAAGAACTGAAATTTTTTAATGAAATTCCGTTTCCAACATAATCTAGGAAAGAGGCTCGACAAAGTGTTACATTTTTACCGAATTCAAATTGGACCAGTCAAAGTCTCGCAGTTCAGTCACAACGAAAGCGTTTATTATTACCAAAATTGCTTAAACTCATAGAAAAAATTGTTTGAATTATAAAAAATACCTTTAAGATTATAGAAATTAACCTTGAAAACATATTAACATGGTCGCGTTAACTATAATCACTTTTTATTTTATAAAATACTCCTTAAAATCCGCTCTCTCACAATCCTTTATTCTCTGTCCAACACCGACTGGAAACGTGTCAAAAATTTTAATTATTAAAAACAAAAAAAATATACCAGTAATCAAATCATTATAATATGTATTTAAAAAAGCCGCATAATAATAATTTTTATAAATTGACCCTTAATTAACAATGTCTGTCTTAGACACAGATTCCTCCTGGTCTTCGCTTTTATTCACAAGATATTTGCTTTTATCATCGGAATTGACCCACAATTTTTATTTTCCAATTTGCTTAGACTATAATTAATTGTGTAACAGGTTAAACGTTGTGTATTTCATCATGTCGAGTCCCCTGCAAAATTTTGTTTGAATAACTCAGTAGAGCTAATTCAAAATTATTAGTTAACCATTATTATTTCCATTTAAAATGTTAACAGGATGATTATAAAAATAAATTTTCATATTTTTGACGTGTAATAAACACCTTGTTATTTTTATGTAAATCACGAATTTTAATATTTTTGTTATTTAACACATAGTTGAAGCACTTTGATGGTGTTTCAAGGCTCGTCTTCTTATCGTTTGATTCAGTTGAAATTTGGCACACTAACGTTTTTTAAGATAACAAAGAAATTGAGGAGGTTGCTTGTGTACATATATCAAAAAGTTCAAATTTGGACCACCCTACGTTAAGAACCCCTAGTTCCCGTCACGCCACCGCCGCTGGCACGCGTGGTCATTGTTGTGTGTTGTTGTTTTCTTCTAATGTTGATGATGATAATAATAACGACGGTACATGCATCTATTATATGTACACACACACGATACTTCCATAATACATACATATATGGCCGAGATGGTCTCGCGGTGTTTTTCATGAGTACGACGTCGACGGCCGCCGCCGCAGCGCGTTCCCTCACCACCAGAATACTTGGGATTCCGCAGCGCAAGGCCGAATTCCTCCAAGGTAGACACCCGTCCTCACCCGTCCCGCCACCGCCGTTCCGCGGCGTTCTTCCCCCACCCGCCTCGGCGGCCGCCGGCTCCGGCTGCGGATGGGCAACCGAAAAACTAACCCCTTGGGTCAAATTCCGGTCCCGGGATTCTGTATGACCTCAGTCTCTTCCTGCGGCTTGCGAGTCCCGTGTTGCGCGCGCGCACGCCGTTGTCTTTCTGTCCACACGCCGCCGACCACAGTCTCTCTTCTCGGGCAGTACAAAATCGAGAAACAGATATTTATTATTTTTACCTTATAAAAACCATTGTTGTTATTGTTGTTTTACCTACCCGTACGCGCGCGATGGTAGCAGCAGTTCCGCTGTTGTCGTGAACCGAGTTGACGTTGTTGTGATGTGCGCGTGCACGATGTTCTCTCACTACTGTTGCGACACTTGGCCGCCGCATTGCGATTACTCTTCCTACGACCAATTGGACGTCCAATATTATCGAGACAACAACACCGGCCGGATCTATTACGTTTACGTAAGAAGAAAACACCAAAATCAATGACAATTTGAACGATAATAATCCTAATTGCGATTTTCAAAATATTTCCTATTCGTTGCTATTTATTACATTAAATTTCTTTCGTCTCGTGATGTATATTTTTAAGTTTTATGGTAAAAAAAAAAAAAAAAAATAGTAATTCTTACATTTGCTCATGGGACTTTTGCTCATATTATCGACCTTGACTTGAGGAAAACATAATAATACATTGTTATTATCGTCATCGTCGTTAGGCGCGTTTAATTTGTTAGCCTACTCTTCTAGTTATTGTAAACACATAATTACCACCTCCCCCTTCGACTTGTCGTGTAATGGATGGGGCACTTTGGTTTAAAAAAAAATTCTATATCTTTTATGAAATAATTTCGGATCAAAAGTACACACATTCACATAAGACATAATGTATAACGGTAACAAATTTTCCGGTATCGAAAAATTACCAAAATATACCTATTATATATAATATATTTTTTTCTCTTGGCGTTTTACACGCCATTTAGGCCCATTGGCGCAACCACCACTTGTTTTTCAAAAGTAGTTAAAAATGATCCGAACAAAAATTAATTCATATCATATCGTAACAGGTCAAAGGACATTTTTTTCTTTTTATTTACAGTAAACACACGGTTAACAAGGATTGAAAGAGGGCGGTATTTTGTATGCAATATTTAAGAAAAAAGTAATTTAATAAATTTCGACCATGTCAATTTGTCTTCAGGTTAAATTATATCAAAACTTCAAGGTATTATTTTTAACTTAAATAAAAGCAATTTTGGTGGTAAAAAAAAAAAATTCTGCATAAAGATAACAATTTGTTGGCTTCTTTGTAGGGTTTTTGTTGAAAAAAGTTCTTTTTTTTTTTAAATGAAAATAAATTATATTTAAAATCTTTCATATATTTAAGCTTATTTTATTCAAATGAAAAAAGCAAAAATAGTTAATGCCAAAGCATTGTTTACTTTAATCAAAGTTAGACCTATAACTAATATTGTTGTCCTTTTTTATGTGATATTCCCAAAATTTTTTTTTTACAATTTTATTGGTTAATGCACTTTATGTTTCTGCTCATTTTACTAAAATTCCACGTCAATAAATTAGTTATAATTGAGTGTCCTTTAAGATAGTTAAAGTCCTGCAAGTTATTAATGAATATTGTAGTTTATTAAAAAATTTTAATCGGTGTTTTAGTTTTAATTTTTTTTTCATCCATTTATATTTACTGTAAAATCAAATAAAAAAAATTTAGAGGCAGGTTTGTCCAAAATCAATACTGGTTGTAATCTTGTAAAAGAACAAATAAATACTACTAATAAATTATTAGTATTATTATTTTTTTTTTTTTGACACAACTTAACAAGACATTTAATAAACGAATACAGTTAAAAAAAATGAATTATAATTTTATTTTAATTCAATAAAATGTCCATCATAAATTTTTGAGTATTCATGAATCATGCGATTAATTTTTGTTATTTAATTTTTTGTTTTCAGGCTAAAAAAGAAATTTACGATATCAAACAGCAGAGGTTGTACTTGGCCCAAGACGAGTACAACCACCTCAACAATGCTTTATCCACACTAAATACGTCTAGAACTAGTCGTGAGTATTAAATAGTTTTTCATATAAAATTGTATTTAATAACAAATTTTACCTCGAAACCTAATTAAAAAATTATATTAAATTTTGTTTTTTTTCCCCCAAAGTTTGTTCAAGCTCTAGTAACATAAGTACAAAATATGATCCTGATTTGCTCAAGTCGGACGTCGCTCATGCCAGAGAAAGGGTAACCAGATTGAAACGTGAGCTAGAACAGATCGGTGTAGAAATGTCTTGTACCCGAAGAGGAGTCGAAACCCTTTCAAAGTACGTTGTTTTCACATCATTTGTTTTGCTTTGACCAATGAGTAATGTACCTATTTTTTTTTTCTACAGTGTCGAACAAAAATTATCAAATGACGGAAGCCGTTACAACGTTGTTGAAGCTCAAGCTATCGTTACTGAACTGCGAGAGATTCAACAGTCTTTGAGCTCCGGACAAAGGGAGCGTACCGGTCTAATGCAGTCCTTGGCCAAACTCAAGGACGATCTTACTAGGTTGCAACTTTGTTCCGCCACTGACGACCCTGATTTTCAAACACAGCACTCGTCCACTCAGCTCAGCGACAAACTCAGCACGGCCTCACAGACGGATCTATCTGGCGAAGTAAGTATACAATATTTTTTACATTCAGACTTATGAGTTTACTCGCTATTCAATTAAAAACTCTTATAAGAATTGAAAACGTGTAACTAACGACATTTTTTTTTTTTTTTTTACAGTTGATGCCAATGGGTACGAGACTAGCTGAAATGGCACGCATGCGACTCGAGTATGACGAGGCACGGAAGCGTATCCAAAGTATACAGCAGCAGTTGGCCGACCTCGAAGAAAAAGTTATGCCCGGCCAAGAAGAGTCAGACAAGGATCGCTTGCTGCTGTTCCAAGAAAAAGAACAACTCTTGCGAGAACTGAGGAGTATAACACCTCGGTCACGCAGTCATCAAGAAATGAGCGACATTCAGGGTGAAATCAAGAAGCTTGAACAAGATTTAAACAACTGTTTAGAAATGTCGAATAGAGCCATTACTGATAGGTATGTACTTACTTTTTTCAGAAAAAAAATATGGAAAATGAAATTCTAAAAAAATACTTTTATTTTAGATTAAGGTTGCACGAAGAAAAACAATTATTGTTGCAACAACTCAAAGAAGCGTTACGATCAATGACACAACTGGAATCTCAACTAAAAACACTGTCGGCCTCTACGCTGTCTGTAAGTTCGAGTTCGAGTTTAGGATCCTTGTCTACGACCAGTAGTAAAGGCTCACTCAGTAGCGGATTGAGTTTTACCGATATTTATGGAGGACCTCAATGCTTGGCTCCGGCTACCTACGATAGGCCTGTAGACATGGCCGACCTTCATAAAAGGTGTGTTGTTGTTATGGCTGTGTAAATGTATATTTAAAAAATTTATTTATGTTATAAATTTGGTTATTTATTTTTGTTAAATCAATTTAGAGTCGAGAGGCTTTTGCGCGACGACATTCAACCTCCGGCCTATGAAAATATGGGCGAAACGTCAAATGTTGTGCCCAACGTAACTGGTATTCCATTTACTCGGAATTGCCGACCTTCGAGTCCGCCGTTGTCGCCCATATCTGAGACACCTCCTCGAAGTGTTTCGGCTGCAGTTAGCGACGAGTCGGTAGCGGGCGATTCTGGTGTATTTGAAGCTAGCCATAAGTCAAACTTTAATGCCGAAACGTCGCAAGTTCAAATCAGACTTAAGTATTCAATAGCCGACCAAGTGTTGCACGTGTGCATAGAGCGATTACGTAACGTTGTTGCACTGTCTGTTGCGGAATCATGGCAGCTGTAAGTGCATAAATACACCTTTCAAGGTTTTTTCAATTTTATTTTTAATTAACTGTGTCATTGTTTCTTACAGATACGTAAAAATTGTACTCTTACCGAGTAGTTCTAATCCTTCATTGAGCGGTTGCACAAAGCCAATATCGGATCTGTCGAAACCGAGGTTTGGTGATAGTTTTGCGTTTAATTTACCATCCAACAAGCTTTGTACGAAAACGCTTCAAGTCAATGTTTGGGGACTAGGTCCTGAAGACGCAACCGAATGTTTGGTAAGTTTGGTTCGGACATATACTTGTCGAATATTCTACTTTGCAAACATGTCTTAACAAACTATTAAATATCTCGCAGGCGTGCGCTCAAGTCAGTCTGGCGGAATTTAATGAGACGGAGAACAATTCTTGGTGCAAGTGGTATAACTTGCTTAGTTTGAAGTTTATGCACAGCAGCGGATCGTTACCTTCAATTTTGCTCAAAGATGACGGAGGCGGATCCGACGATTCTACTATAATATCATCTCAAACGTCAACACTCACTCGTAATCAAGGTAAATAGGGGTTTTTTTTTTGGTTTTGTGTTTTATTTGATGTAAAACGATTTTATCGATAATTTAGGCTGTTGTGACGAAAACGAACCTAAGTTCATTAACGTGGACAACTTGAACGAAAACCAAGGGGAATATGATGACGGCGATTCCGACGACAGTGTGAGCGATGACGAAGATGATGACGATTGCGATGAAGACGATGAGGATATTGAAGTCTATCATTTAGAAACTGATAAAAAAGAGCAACTAGAACAAGTGTTGGAAGTACCTGTAAGTCATTGTTTATTATATTATATTCCAAAAATTGTGTTAACATTTATAATTATTAGGACCCGGAAGCCGATAGGGAAGACAAGCAAACAAATACCGATTGTGCCTTTAGCGTTAGTACCAATGAAAATAACAGGGTACCTACGATAGTAGTCAAGCGATCTCAAACGTTCTCCCCAACTGCCAAAAACCAATATATTTGTAAAGTAAGTCGATCGGAACTTTACAAACTCACTCATTTGGAATAATGATAATATCGCAACTAATAATTATATGTATTTTGCAGTTGAATCGCAGCGACAGTGACAGTGCCATGAATTTGTACAGGCGACACATATCGTCCAGTGCCAGTATGAAAGGGATCGGAGGCAGTAATGCCGATATAGCGTTCCGCCGTAATTGCTTGGAACGGCGGTCTTTGCGTGTTGGTCGAGTGGCGGGAGCTTCGTCCAGTAGTTATGTGCCATCTGCTTGTGGCGGCACGTCTTGGTGCCGTCCACCTAGGACGTCCATCGATCTGGAACTGGACAGACAAGCCCAGCATGCGAGGCTGTTGTCGCTCAACGATGAAATATTAAGACTCAAGCAACTTAAAAATACATTGGAAATTGCCAAAGAAACCGGCGACACGGATGTGGCTGCTTGGGTTTTAGAGGATGAAGAGTTTCAGAATCTTGTCAAAGAGGTATATTTAAAATATTATTTAGTGTTTCGGTTGATAAATGACAATTATGTGTAAAATGCATATTTATCGTGGCGTGTCTTTTGTTGTCTAGGCTGGAGACAAAACTCTTGACGAAAAGAAAGTTGAACGCCGGTTGAAGAGAGCTTCGCAAAAATTGTACAATTTGAGAAAAAGCAAAGCCGGCCAAGGAAAACCGGACGTTATTTCTTTCAAGTGAGTGCTGTAATAAAAATAAAACTATAATTTCAGAGTTTTTAGCAATGTTTTAATTTTGTGGCCTTTTTTTTTTCCCCCTTCTGTATAGAGAAAAAATGGCGTTTTTCACTCGGCCCGGTGTATCCGTACCCGTTCCGCCTAGTAAGTCGTCTTTGGATTCAAAATCTGCCGAAACCCGATATCAGTACACCGTGGATAGGGTATATGGAGTAGAAGTATAGTTTTATTTAAAACAATGTTTTTTTAGTACACTGACACAATACAAAAAATCCCACCTGCTGTTATTTTCTAAGACTTTGATACTATATTATATAATTATTATTATTATGTACATAAAAAGAAAAGATGGAAATGTTTTGATTTATTACACGTCTCGTAATAATTTCAATGTTACATTTATTGTTTTTATTTTCTAGATAGATTTTATTTATTGTTATTTTCTTCTTATTATTATTATTATATTGATATTATTATTGTTACAATTAATATGAAAACGAACAAAGAATTATTTTGTATGTGCCTTAATTAAAATAAATACATATAGATTTTTTTTTTTTTTTTGATAGGTGGAGTTAAATGTGTATTATATTATATATTTAAACGTAAAAGAAAATTGCCATAATTTATTGTTATTATTATTATTATTATTATTATTTTAATATAATATTACATTTAAACACGATCGAATTTAATTAGTAATTTTTTAGATCTGACGGAGAGTTCATGTATATTTTTTTATGTTACATGTTTAACATATCATTATGATAACGATACAAAGCAACGTTTTATGTTTTGGCTGTGACAAAAAAATTATATACGAGAATTAAAGAATAAAAATATTATTCTGGTTTATAATCACGCCTTGTAAAATGTTTCATACTTAAGAGGTGCTATTTTTCATAAATTGTGTAATAATTTCATATTCATGTATTTTTTTTTTTTATATAGAACGATATCCCCGATAAATATCGATCAGAAAACGACTTGTATTTTTTATAGTATTGTAGTATTAAAATAGCTTTCTTAAACATTCATTTGTTTATTTCTTTTTTTGGGTATACAATTATTATTATTATTATTATTATTATTATATATTTTGTGTTAGTTTTTGTATATTTTTTTCTATTTATAATTGTTTTGTTGAGATATATTTTTTTTTTATCTATTTTGTTTTGTACATACTGTACATATCATATATACATGTATAAAATAATATATATTTATATTATATATTATTATGTTTATATATAGTAAAAAAAAAATTACCTAAAAAAAACCCCTAACAAATTTGTTGTAAATTATGTTAATACTTGAAAATTATTATTTTATTAATGTCATTTAAAAAAAAAAAACACCAATGTTAAATGTATTGCCTAATAAATAAATTAGGGTACGATTTATTATAAAGTGAGTTTTTCTATTTCCTTTGTCCGAATTAATTATAGAGTATATAATAAATAATTCTGTTAAACTTTACTAAGAATCTGATCAATTCATCTGAGTCTTCTGAGTTTGACGAGAATGCTATCAAATACATTACATGCTGCTCAATGTTTGTATTATATTAAACATGTTAAACTCGACAAAATTGAAAATGATTGTTTTGTGGTTACTTTGGTAAATTTGGCCAAAACTAGTTTACTACCCCGTTTGTAGCTTCTATAGAACTTATCGTTGTTGGTCTCATAACGGAAACAGCGGCTACATGTCTTTTTATCATTTTGAATATTCTTGTCACAATACCAAACTCGATTAAAAATAATAATAATAATAATATCAGATTCTGTAATTAAAAACCAACTGACTGAACACGACCGTACAAAGATAAAGTGACTCGGTCGTAAAAATGTGTACTTAAGCGTTGCGATTACTTTCATTATGTTTTGAGAAAACCAACAGCAATGACTGTAATAATTAATAAATAAACGATAAAGATAAAAAAAAAAAAATATGGTGATATTCAAAGAATATTAAAATAAAAACAGAGGCCATTAAACGTCAATGTTTTATTTATGCAAATTCGTTTGTAGTAAACATTTAACTGGATTCCTTTTTTTTTTGTAAAATGATAACGTTATTAACTTGAATATTAAATCTTGAAAAGTTAAGTATATAAAAAATGTAGACAATTTTTTTTAGAGTATTTGAAGGAAGTGAAGGGATGTATAATACAGTTCAACTAGCCTTCAACGTGGATAATGATAAAACAATTAATTTATGACCCGAATTTGAATTTTTTTTTTAATTTTAAATTTAAACGAATAAAGAACAAAACGGTTGGGTTCCGAGTAGTTTTTTTTTTTTACAAATTTAAACTTTGACAATTTTCTGTACTTACCTATTCTTATAAGTAATAACTAATTTGAACTTGTATATAATAATATTATTATATATATATATGCTACCTACGTTCATTTTGAGTATAATAAAAAAAAATTTGATCTATAGGAGTATATAAAAAAAAAATAATAATAATAGTTTTTGAAAGATAAAATAATTTAAAAAAAATTAAGTTTTCGCTTATAATTTGAAAAGAAAGTATAATATTCAATTTATTTTAACACTATTATTTAAAGCTGTGGCGGATACATGGCTGCATACCCAGATTACAGATAGAATGGTTATAAAACGGTATATTTGACTTAAGTAAATTAGTTTTAGTTTTAAACATTAAAAGTAAAAATGTTTGAATATGACGACTGAGAACTGATCTGCATTTATGCCTCTTTTTACATTTTTAAACGCAATCAACTTAATTCTAAGTATAGTTCAAACCAAGTACTATCAAAATGTGTATGTTAGATATCAGTGAAGATATGGTTGTACACTGGTTGAATTTTTACTCTTTTCGGGCATATTCTATTTGTATATAGCCAATATAATTCTCAGGGAACTCAAAAACAGTTTTGGGTTATTAAAATTCGTGAAAAACTAAATTAAAAAAAAAATATGTTCTCCAATCTGGATGAGAAGATTAACTGCACTGCACGATTTATAATAATTATAAAACATTGTTTTTTTTTCTGCGTTGTAGCACACTGTCCGACAGACATAAATTGACGAAAAATATACTGTAATTAGTAAAAAATAAACAACAGGTAATATTGTTATAATGAAGATTTATAAACCGACCTTCGAGTGTCGACTGTTGACACAAAAACATTAAGCACTTTTCCATTTGTTGAAAAAACTAAAAGTCAATATTACGGTTATTTTATTAAAAATACATCCAGACAGTTGTGAATTCTTATATATATATATATATATATATATATATATTTTAGTTTGTTTTTTACTTTCTTTTTCAATACATTTAATATGTACGGTGTTAAAGTCTGTTGATATAAATAAATGTTAACAGCTTAGGTAGAGTTGTCTTGCCAAGCCAAGTCAAAGCTTTTAGCGCTCGAACTTGAATAAGATGATTTTACATAATCTGTGAAATATGTGATAGAAAAAAAAATATATAAAATAACGTTGAAACACAACATTGAATGCATGTAAGTGAGATTATATAAATTCTGGAAACGGATTTTAATTTATTCAACGAAAAATCAATCGATTTCCTATTAGTTATTTTTCACGGTTCACCTTCAATTCAGAGCAGATATTATTTTTGCAATGATTTTTTTAAATTTATTTTTGTGTGGACATATTTTTTAAACCCCTGAACCCATTTATTCATGTGGCAACTGTATTGATCAGAAATCGTACTTGAGAGTTAATTTATTGGGCGAAAAATCGACGGCTCATCCCTTCCCATAAAAATTGATAAACTTGACATTTTTTTTTTTTAAATTTAAAATTACTACACACTATACGTTTTTTTAAAAAATCCTCGAATTAGTTCCAAAGGACTCAGGAGGGGCTGACAATTTTAATTCACTTTTTTAAGTGTAGTTTTAGGGCTTAGGTGGGTATGGAATGGGTCTATATCATATGCGCAACATGCTCAACATACTGTAGTCAAACTTTGTTTTTATTAATGAAGAATGAAAATTTGGACGCTTTCCTATGTTTTTTGGTAGTATAATTATTTTGAAATATTCGTCAACATAATTATTATAAATTATAGATACAAAGTAATTTTAGTTTAATTTTCTGTTCTAAAGTCTTAAAATAAATAAGAAATCATGTGTGTGTGTAGTAACTAGTATCTAGAGTCGATCTTGTACATAACATACATTTCATTTTAAGTTTGAAAATCTAGAATAAAACACCGCTTATTGTAAAAAATGGAAAATAATACATTGGATCGTTGTACCTAATATATTACAATGTCAAAAACAACTATAGCGAGCTTCAACATAACGTCTCATGTTGTAAACGGCTATATTATGACGTTTAAACAAAATATAGTAATATCCCTGTCAGTTGTGTATTGTGTTCTTGTGCAATTTTATAAAACATGTTTTGTATGACGTTTCTATCTTTAATCTTATTTCGGTTATTAATGTTTGAAACCGAGCGACGATTTTGGTCTACTCTAATTTTGAAAACATCCACATCTGGTGGAAAATAATTACTCAAGAAAATCTGTAGGTAAAGGTATTCTCTACATAATGATGTGTTTCTGTTATTAGCTGTTATTTTCGTGTTTTGCTCTATTGTTCTTCTAGGCTCGTTTATCCGGATAGCAAAAGAGTGTAAAACTAACAAAAAAATAATTATCCCTTCCTTTGGGAATCTAGTTATATTAATTTACAATTTATAGTAATCTCTCTAAATTTACTATGATACGTGCCCACTTCACCCTGACCGACATTTTTTTCATTTTTTAATAGTATCTTTTTCAGGATTACTCGTAATATGAGGGATGATTTAAAAAAAAAAATAGTTTCACGAATAAAAAGTTAACTAAATTGTAATAATTATTTGATAATATGTCCCATTTGTATTAAACCATGTAAATGTTATGCCTGATTGTCAAACAAAGTAGTTTCTATTCCAGAAGTACATTTTGAAGAACTATTCAATTGTACAAAACACGCTGAGTATACCACAGATTTGGAATTGCAATTTACATAGTGTTATTTATGTACTATTTAAAAATGCCAGGAAAAATACATTTTGTCGAAATAATATCACAATGTTAAAACGCGCGTTTTCCAGAAGCGTTTTTTTTTTTTTAAGTATACAACCATCTTGTACCGATAAAAGCGTCAATAACCACTTTATAGGTTTGGGCACACACTTTGTATAGTACTTTCTTGTAATTAATCGAAAAATGGAAAACGGTGCCGGGTCATCATCGTGCCGTCCGCCAAAGTGGCTGCACTGTCAGATCCCTTCCGTGGTGCTGCGTGCCGCGCTCGGAGGCTTCTTGGGCAGCCACCGGCAGTTCCTGTCCACCTGTCGGCGCAAACGATCCAGTACACCCCCGCCGTGTCCCGTGCACGTTGGTCGACGACACGTAACCCGCGGTCCACGTGACTTACCACCGACGGTCTTGTAGGAAATTTTTGAGAAAAAAAAAATCGATTTAATTTATTTTACAATAACACTAATTTCGTATACGCGAAAATATGCGCTCAACCGCCAGCGAAGCCGTTGTCGCGGCGCTGCTGCTGGCCGTGTTCGCCGTCGCGCCAACCTCAGTTCTGGCCGGCAGTTGCCTGGAAGCCAAACTCTGTTGTCCGGGCCGGGACTCGGCGTGCGTTGTCCAGAAGACGCCAATCAACGCCATCATCGAGGATCCCACCGACAAGCCGTGCTACTGCGATCACGCTTGCCTCAAGCTGGGCGACTGCTGCACCGACTTCAAACCGGCTTGCGGAGGTCAGTAACTTATCTCTGTAACACACTGATGTCGTCATGTGCATCTGATGAGTGAATTTTGGTTTTTTTTAAATTTAATTGGAGTTATGTATAAGTACAACATAGCCTGAAGGGGATGAATGCGGGCGGTTTAAAGGGTTCTTGTGTAATTGGCGATACTTAAGAAAAAAGTGGTTTTAATCGATTTCGACAATGTCAATTTGTTTTCAGATTAATGTGTAAAAGCTTCAAGGTATTATATTTTTAAACTTATTTACATTTTGATGGTAGAAAACATATTATATAATGTGTAGAGACATTGAAAGCCAAAGATTTGTCCAGCGGACGTGTCAAGTATATTGCATACATGTAATGATAGAGTATAATGTAATTTCAAACGCTCTTCCTGTAAAATTAGATGGGGATAAGGGACCAAACAGAGATAAGTAATTGGTACCGGCTATCTTTACACATTTTTCTGAACATAAAGACTATAAAAATATTTCGGTACTACTTACGTGTCACTAGAGCATAGACACCAGTCCATAGTTGATAGTTGTATACCAAACCACGAGTGGTAGTATATCTCATTAACTCCTTTTGGCCAGTCCGTCTTTGCTAGGTATGCCGAATGCTTTATTTGATATCAAGTAGTAATAAAAATATGTTTTCTAGTGCAACGTGTGATGCGTCTTAAAATGACAATTAAATAAATAAAAACATTTCTATTGATATATATATATATTTTTAAATCTTTGAGACATTGACCGTTGTATGGTTTGCGAACCATCCTATAAAAAAGTTTACTGTTATGAACGTACACAAAATCATAATGCTTGCAGTAAAACCGTATATATATATATACATATATACATATAATGCTTTGCACAAAACGTCAAACAGCTCTATAAGGCCGCTTATACGACGAGCGAAATGGTTAATAAAATAGTTATTATACAATATATAAATGTATATTATACTACCCTTGATATGTCTGATGCGTTCACCGAGTACAACTTATAATGTCTTTTCGGAACGTATAATAACGTATAGAACTTGACAATATCATGAATAAATAGTCGTTGCGATTTTGATTGTTTATTAAAGATATAAAATAGTTTAACGACATTTAAATACATATTATAATATTCCATAAGACTTGTGTTCAAACTATGGTCGTTTTGAGCCTTTATGAAAACCAATAACTAGTAGTTTATTGGCTTTTGTTAATAGTTTTCATACACCATGTATGAATGTATATTATATTTTTCACGGCGCTGTTACTCTTTAGGTCTTACTAGCGAAAGGTAGGTATTCTTTGAGGTTTGGATTCTTTTTGGGATCGCTTATGTGTATAGCTTTACAAGCTCAGATAAAGTTGTTTTCCACGTATACAAAACCTATAAGAGAGGACTGTTGGTTCCATTATTTTCCCTTACACATAACCTAACAAATTTTTATAAAAAAAAATTTTTTATACCCCTCAAATCACCCTAGTTACACTTATGCTAGTAATTTTCGTTTGTACGTTCATATGTATTAAAGTCTTAGTTTTGTAAATGTATTACCTATTAGAAGGTTGGAAATCGGTTGCGAAAAAAATTAACTACAAATTTCTCAATTTTACAGCAAAACATTTATAAATTTTACTACAAATAATTAAGGATAGCTATTGAAAACTGTTATTTTTGTCTCTTCGTCCCATTCTCGACCAACATTATAGGAATTAGACATAATAATATGTTTGTTGAGCTTTTTTGTTCAAGTGAAATTGTTTTTTATATTTTTTAATTGAATACCAGTCGCAGTTTTATGTCGGACATTGAAAAAAGTCTCCTTCAACTAAGTCTCGTTAATAAAATGTATAATTACGTTTCTTATTACATCAACAACGGGCGCGCTTGCTGCTTCCTCTCACATTACAGCTTTTTTTTTTACTTTTGGGATAGCCCCTTCATTAATTAAAAAAAAAAAAAATACTTAAACCAACGCGTTTCCGTTTTAATAGAAAAACATTTAATGCAAACACATTGATCGTGGCTACCCGTTTAATCGTTGTATATTATAAGTAACAACCCCATTGACTGGAGGTTTACAGAAAGGCTACCGTTTCATTTATAAATCCGTGGTTGATCTATTGTACTTTATAGGGCCACCGCGATGATCATATTATTTTCTTTTTACCGTTGGATTTCAAACCATTGCTTTTGACCCCATTTTTTGTCACCGGTATAATAGCATAACCGATATTGTGCCGAAGTCAAAGCGATAAGAGGTTTATTATCAAATCATATCATATATACCTATACATATATAATGTTATTACTTTTAAACGATTTTCATGTCTGTGATACTGAAGAGTAATTTATTTGTAAATCTCTTCTCGTCGTTAACCATAAATATTTTCCATACACATTTAATATTATTAAAAAAAAAAAAAACACGCACGTATCCTAAGTATACTTTATATTTGTCTTGGCGATAGCAGTTAATATTGCCACGCTCGGATATAGCCTATATCATATGTAGGTATTTATATATCTTATTTTTTTTATCTTAAAAATAATACTCAACAGCGAAGGTAAATAAAAAAAAAATCATTATTGGCAATAAACTAGAGGATACTCTGCGGCAAATACTTTAATTTATTACGTTCACGTCGAATAATAAAAAAAAAAAAATAGTATCAGAATTTCGAAAAGCCGCCCTCCTAAAGGAAAGCCCACGCTTCTGCCGAGGAAATTATTACCTTCATTGGAAATCATAACATAAACTATACCGACATCGTAAAACAATCTCTATAATAATACATAGTCCATAACGGAAATCTGTTCATTTAAATTAAAAAAAACAAAAAAATTCTCGAGATTTTAAACTAAAGCTAAAAATGTGTAAGTGTAAATCTACGAGTAACTAATTTCTTGGTTGAACTCCAGTCGAAAAACCTTAACAAACTTAACTGGGCATAAAAAAAAACTGTTTTTGCAGAAAATTTCGTTTTATTTTTACCGGTACGGCGTACGCGTAGATCGTTGAACTTGCTGCATCGGTTGTATATAATATAACTGTATGCTTGCGAAGAACAATATTGCCCATATTTTGTCTTGAAATTTCCTTCACTAGCTCATATGTATGCATATAACTATTATAACGGTTAAGATTTCAGGATTTCTCTCCCAGTGGCGTATGCAATCCGGCGGGAAATTATTGTAATATCGTGCCGGGAAAGTCATATATATTGTATTTTTTTTTTTATATAGTAGGGTTGGTTGTATATAATAATATATACGGTTTATGCGGTTTGTTATGAATGAGTTGGCGACCACTCGAAAGACTTGTTGTATTAGCTATTGTATTATAATAATTCGACCGAGTGATGAACGGCCGACTGCGCTCTGCGGAATAATATAATAATATTATATAACAGACGTCACCGCGATGAATTCAACCGTTTTGGGCACACATACGCTCATTACACTTGATGAATTAATAACGCTATACATGTCTGTTATAATATACATACATATATATATATATATTAATATATGTATCCGTTTATGTGATGGTACTTCACAGCCGCGGCTATTAATAACGGCGGAAGACTTGTGTATAAATAATACCTACTTATTATCCCTTTAAAACAAACGCGGGTGTACATCTGGAGCAGCGAGGAGGCTTTGAAACTTTAAATTATTGATGTTAATTTTTCATAAGGCACACCGCCGAATAACCACCGTGTAATTAATTTTATTAACGAATGACCCTTTTGAAAAATAGTCGAGTTAGGTACTTCGGAATTTCTATGGAATATTCTTTAGACAAAGTATCATTGTCAGGGAAAAATTACATGTTTGACCGAATCGACAGTACACAGTAACTGAAAAATATTTTTACCGTGTACTTAATTTTACACAGACTATCAACCCTAACCGTATCCACCCTGATTCAATTTTGGGCACATTACCGTTGTTAAAATGTTTTTATCGATATTTAATATTCCTAGCGTCTTGAGATCAGCATCGAAGCGTTTGTTTGTAAGTAATTTTATCAGATCTGTGCTCGACCCCACTGTACTCGATTACCCTCCTCTCTAAAATCGGTTATTTCGGGTAAAATGTTATTATTATATTGAATCTCTGATTACCACAGCAGCAAGCCGCTTTTGCTTTGAACTTTACTACCGGCCATAACTGCTCTGTCATTAGGGCGACGTGTCGTCATTGTTAACCGTCTGCTCCATTTGCCCAAGTAAAGCGGATAAACGACATTAAAACCCTTATCTCATTAGCGGCAGTTAACGTCTAGAACAACGCGACGTATACGAGACGAATTTGATTTTGTAATAATTATGTTTACAACAACGGTATAATATTAATTTAAAACGAAAACGTCATTGTGAGCCGAAGACGCTGAACATGATATTATTATACAATAATATGACTTGCCCCTGTTGTTGTTCAAAGTGACGTTGATCATTCACCGTAAATAAAATTTAATACAATATTTTAATACATATTATTATCAAGTATATAATATAATGGCTGTGCGTCACGGGCAACCTGTGTGGGGTTTTTTTTATCCTCGTACATTTTATGTACCCGCCGAGCCGTGTTGTGTAATAATATCAAATGGCTGTTGTTATTTTTTCGAAGCGTCCTCGTGACTTATACATGCGAGAGAATACGAGGTCTCTTCTTCTACTTAACCGAACCGGTACGTATATGTGTACATGCATTTAGTCCCGGACATCAGGTAGACACTAGACAGTATATAGACATAATATCGAGATCATCAGCTCGTGTTGAACCAGAGGGAACGGACGTGTATTAAGTACGTGTCAACCGCACTCGAGATCACCAGGAATTTCTTTCTTGTATTTTTAGTCTGTTCAATTTTCGACCATAACTTATTCCGGACATAGTATTCACCAGATCAATAATTATTATTGTTAATATAATCAAATTAAACGTATCTGGTCATGATGTCACTGGTCGGTAGGGCTATTAATTACAGATAAGCGA